AATTGCTTGGTTTTTGGCTGACTTTGTTTCCACCTCGCTCAGCAATATTGCTAAGAACAAAATACCGGTAATCAGAAAACTACAGCTACAATACGGTATACAGTAAAACCTGGTGTAAGCGACCTCTGGGTTTAGCGACCACCTGCTCTGGCTTTAAAATGACCGCTTTTGCTTGCACCGTGGGGGTGGTCGCTTAAAAATCAGGTTTTTACTGTATCTCTATGCAATCCCCTCGGCTTGACTGTGAAGTTGGTGACTGTACATGTTCTATTATAAACCAGCCATGTTATGGTTTTCTGGTTCTCAGTGTCCAGGTGCGCAGTGCATGATGAACATTACCCAGGAGTGATGGGCAGACCTGCATGCAAGACTGAGGAATTTCCTGCTTCTAAACTGAAGCATCAGGATTCGGTCTCACAATGCCGCCATCATTGAGTGTCAGTAAGTCGAATCGGATGAGCAAGAGGAGGTCTTCCTTCCTATCAACTTGTATTCGAGTCATTAGTAATTTTAAGAATTGCGATCAACAGAACGAGCTGAACTGATATATTACAAAGGCTTTATTATAATTCAAAACAACTGGATGTGAAGGCTGTGAAGAACAAGGAAGGAGAACTTTTTTTAAATATTTTTTCTTCCTATCACACTTTTTCTTCACAGCCTTCGTATCCAGTTGTTTTGAATAACAAATTGAATTATAATAAAGCCTTTGTAAAATGTCAGTTCAGCTCGTTCTGTTGACCGCATTTCTTTAAAAACTATTCGCGCCTTGCTGCGTATTCACATGAATGCACCTAGCTCGTAGATGTACTGACACTAAGTTATACGCAAGGCAATCATGATGCAAAGGAGGTTCTAGAGCCTTATTATGTCCGTATAAGTACAGTCAACCCTACAAATAGCAACCCTCAATCGGCCATGGGGAAAATGTTGAGGCTACTTGGTCTCAGAAGAGAAAGTGTTATTCGCACGAGGTTGTTATTCACGAGGTTAACTGTATGTACGATGCACAGTGCATTTAGAATGTTTTAAAAGCACTCGTTTTTTAAAGTTTTAGACCGGGGCCGGCAATGTGGCAGGGTGGCCCTATATAATATACCCGATACTGATCTTGGCGGATCCAGACCAGTTCAGTCTCTGAAAGGGGGGGGGGGGGGGGGGTAGTACAGGTCTACTCTCCATATAACGTTATCTTTGGGACCACGCAAAAATTATGTTATATCGAGAGTTATGTTAAAAAAACAAATCCGTTGATCCCCGAGCTGCAGAGAGTGCTCAATGTCAGAGACAGAGCTTAGTACATAGCAGAGTTATGTTATGTAGAAAACCGTGTGTAAAATACAATATGTACCTCAAAATGAAGGGCATTACAAGGTGGGTTCAACCGTGCAAACATATACACACTGTACCACCATCAACATCAGATACCATCAATGCCGCAGAATATATGCACAATAGGACTAAACTGGCTAGCTACGGCTACAGCTTGATTGTACCACGCACATGAATCTACGTTGTATCGAGAGTGCACACGTCGGGGACCGTGCCGTAGGGTGCGTTATGCTGAGGTTTACGTTATGTAGGACTAAACTGGCCTAAACTGCCTAGCCACAGCTGCCGCTTGATCGTACCGTGCACGTGAATTTATGTTGTATCGAGAGTGCGCACACCGGGGACCACGCCGAAGCGTGTGTTATGCCATCGGTCGAGGTTTATGTCATGCAGGATTATGTTGTGTAGAACAAAATTTGTATGGGAGTGATGCTGTTTCGGCGCGGGATTTGATTTTTTTACGTACTAGCGAGCCGGTTTATGTACAAGTGAGAGTTGTTATATCGAGAGCAGACCTGTAACTGTAATCTCCATGAACCCATGGTCACTGAAAGTTTGAAAGGATGGGCCGGGAACCCCCTCTACTGAGATCCACAGTTGCAAGGACACTCACTGAGCGTGATCCAGGGCAATAACTTGTGTGGTAGGACAACATCACAGACCCAATGTGGGAAGTCATGGTTGCCTTGTGCCATTCATGGGGAGTACAGGCCGCTGACTGGGACCGTGGGCTGACAATTGTCACCAGTTGGCATAATTATACTATCTTCACTTGCGACTCTTTTTAAAGAAATGAAGCATCTCGGGATAGGTGAGTTGAAGGGTAATGAAATGATTGTTCAGATCAGTTCATGTCATAGCAATGAGATATTGTGTTCCATTCCTCTACCTGCGAGTGGGCTTGCTTCGCAATGTGTGTATTGTAGATTCTACTGTAGCTTTTACAGGGAATGCCGCAAAAAAGGTTGATCTTCGTGGAAATAGTCATATTCGGAACTTATCATCCACCTTATCCCACGTCTTCTGAGGGAAACACCACACAAAGGTTTAGAAGAAAAAAACAGTGACAATCCAATCACGCCCATGCAAGTGAACGACTGAATGTGACTGGTGGAAGCCACTCAAATCGACAAAATTTTATTAATCATGATGTCATTGTACCTGTACTTGTACTTGTAGTATGACCAGGAGTCTAGGACAGTGCTACCGTATTGGTGTATGCGATCGATGACCTGCCATCAAACAGGGTTTCCCCCCAGTGGAGTTGTATGCACTAGCCCTATAAAAAGTGTTGACTTGTTGCGAATGGTGGTCATCCACACCCGCTGTATGTCACTGGCCAAGGCAGACAAATAATTGACAGTGCGGGTGACAGCGCAGGACAAGCAATGTCATAGTGAAGTCCGAATAGGTATGGTCATAATTATTACGGGTATGTCCATAACCAGGATTGAGCCGGGTGTGAGCTGGAATTGAGCAGACGATCATGGCCCCACCACCGGCATGTGTCCCTGTGCTGCCTACAAGGCAACATCAGGCCATATGGGTCGTAGGCATGTCTATGGTTACCAAGTCTTAGTATTGATTACTATTGTCGTTTGCATACACCATTAAGTTAACCTACTCAGGCCCGGCGGAACCGGTCCGGTTGGTCAGGCCGTGGCCGGACCAACTTTTTGGCTACCAGCGTGTGTTTACTGCTGAGGAGGTCATGTGTACACCATAGTGTACCCTCCATATCATACACAAACTGTATGAAAGGCTAGGGTATGGCCGGACCAATCCAAGACTGCTTCCGCCGGTCCTGCGTACTGTACATGAAAGTAGGTTGGCTGTCCAGAATACATGCAGTACATGTATCAGGAATGCTCAATCTGCGGACAGCATGCTATTGTATACTGGAATCTGTATGCACATGTACACCAAGACTGGAATCTGTATGCACATGTACACCAAGACTGGAATATGTATGCACATGTACACCAAGACTGGAATATGTATGCACATGTACACCAAGACTGGAATATGTATGCACATGTACACCAAGACTGGAATATGTATGCACATGCACACCAAGACTGGAATATGTATGCACATGTACACCAAGACTGGAATATGTATGCACATGTACACCAAGACTGGAATATGTATGCACATGTACACCAAGACTGGAATATGTACATGTATGCACATGTACACCAAGACTGGAATATGTATGCACATGTACACCAAGACTGGAATATGTATGCACATGTACACCAAGACTGGAATATGTATGCACATGTACACCAAGACTGGAATATGTATGCACATGTACACCAAGACTGGAATATGTATGCACATGTACACCAAGACTGGAATATGTATGCACATGTACACCAAGACTGGAATATGTATGCACATGTACACCAAGACTGGAATATGTATGCACATGTACACCAGCACTCCGTGGATTGCAGGTTTGCCAGTCAAATTATAAATGCACTCCATGCAAACAGTACAGTAAAACCCTGAACCAAGCGGAATCCGGGTGTATCATGACCGGGAAAAAATCAGTCATGCACCAAAGTAGGGCAGGTTTCAAAGTTGCTGTATTCTGAATGGCATCATTCGTAATTTCGTATGTGTGTGTGCATCACCTAGACTAGACTGAGTACCGTGGACCCCTGGCCTGGGGTTACACCTACAACTGAAGCGAAAGGCTGAGTTGTACTTCAAGTTTTCGTGGCGCATTTCAGCAATCATCAGACAGCGGCATTTGGCATTATGATTCACGACTTGTATGTACATGTACTGCTCTGCACACTTTGTGCATTGAATTACCCCCCCCCCCCCCCCCCACCCTACCGGGGTTATGTACTCTTGGTCACTACTACTAGTATGTACATGTACAGTACAACTGAGTACATGTACTTGTAGAGCGCCGAGCGGGTTAAAATCCCAAGTCAACCGACATTTTTTATGTGCATGTACATGTATGCGTTCGATTTGTACTCAGCAAAGGCTACTGCATTCATTTGAGGGGGGGGGGGGGGGTCAGCCTTCATCCCTGAAAATGAGACCCTTGTTCAAGGACTGGTACAAAGGCCGCTACATTGAAGATCATGCCCATTGCATGTACACAAACTTCAAAAGCGCCTTCAAGCATGTGATGCTTGTATTGAGCTCATGTCACATAGTCAGTACATGTACTCAGTATCAACCATGACATGAGCTCAATGCCAATGCCAATGCCATGGCAATGGTTTTTTATAATCATTGAAATCGTCGATTTATCATGACTTCTGCGGTGAGTGCAGCTACTGCTAGTACTAGTAAGTGTGTGACTGTCTGACATGACAGTGACTGACTGACTTGACTCCGATCCGCGACGTCCGCGTATGAACCATTTTGTGAACTATGATGATGGATTCTCGATGACCATGACCGATGACAAGTCAGTCACACCGTTCCGTCGATGCATGAATTAGGGCATGATGACACACTACCTACGCCACGCGTGCACGGTCATCGGTCACTACGGTGAACGGTCACGCCATACACTTCGGTTCACGTGAGCAGGCGCTGAACGGTGAAAATATCCTCAATCGAACTCACGGCTAGCCGGCTAGGCTAGGCTAGGCTCACCCTCTGCGTTGTCCTTCCTACAACAGTGCAGTACAAGCATGTCCTTCGTGGGGTTTGTGCCGACACAGAGCTAGCTCTGTTTTGCACGCAGCATGCAAGTCAATCGTTTGGGTGGCAGCTAGCTCGAGCTCCACAGCTCTTTCGAAAAGACACGAGTGAAAGTGATCCCACGTCGCTTGTTGGTATGAACGGAGAACAACAGGCTCGTTGTTAGAGGAACACTCGCGCGGAGGATTTAGCATTCTAGGAGCGTAAACAGCTTGCAGAGAACTTCAGACAGTGCATGCAAGATATCGGAAGCAGTGGGCGAGTATCCACTGCATTGGATAAGAGAGCTAGCGAGCGCAGGCTGAGGAGGCCTCCACCCGCATCCGCCAGCAGTTTGCAAGCGGCGTAGCACTTTGCACGGATCAGTTCAGATCGCGGTCCCCATAATTATCTGAGCATACATTTTTGCAGTTTTTTTCCTGTTTAGCTCGTTGCGGCTCATTGTAGTGCACTAGCACGGCGTAAAAGAAGAAAGCAGCTATTTACTTTGCTCTGCAGTGTGAGAGACTACTTGCTGAAGCCCCGTCACCGCGTGTGCAGGTAGCAGCACAGACTTGCCTCCTGGGCGAGCGCGGGATGTTATGAAAAGTACAATTATTTAGTTCGAAAGGAGTAGCTCTGTTCGGCTCTAGCCGCGAGGTATCATAATCACACGTCCTTGCCCCGGCTGCTGCTCGGCAGTGAGGGTGAGAGTGCGACGAAGCTTTTCAGTCTGACCTTAGACTAAGTTAGAGGTCAATATCAAGTGCTCTTCTGAAGTGGCTTTGGAAAGCCGTGCGTACACCGAAAGAACAGTCAGTGTAGAAGCAGATTTCCAATGGACTAGATATCGTATTCTGCTACTAATACTGCCAACGTATGTCAGGAGCGCCGGACGAAAGCCCCACTATAATGGAATTGACAAGACTACCGCTGGATGGCTGCGGACTTTGGCGGCATGGTACACTAACTCCTGCTATCGTTGTGTGCCTGATTTTGGCCAGCTCGTTCATTGTCGCCGACCTGTACTACTATGGAGTGCTTGGTGAGCTGCCATGTCAGGCATCCAATTGCTCATCCACCATTCCTCAGCCATCTGTGAAGCTGATGATGCAGGACCACATGAGCCACTACATACACCACTATGGGGCGGAGGAGTTTGAAGAAGCCACAAGTCTGGCTGACCTTCCCTTCATCACTCCCAACTTCATTACCACGGTGCATATATTTGTTGGTGCACTGGGCGGGTACCTAGTGTCGTCGGAGCACTACAAAATCCGCCAGATTGCCGTTGGCGTATTCCAGTTCAGAATATTCTTGGACATGATGGACGGCGTAGTGTACCGGCGACAGCTTCACCAGTCGACGTACGTTAACGGCTGGGGTACTCTCGGCTACTATATCGATGCCGGGGCAGATGTACTGGCATCGGTTATCTTAGTGTACGGGCTATTCGTCTACCTGGCACGGCACCCTCCCCGGCGCAACGAGGGCCTGCCGCTGCGTCACCCGCCAGAGCCGATAACCGACGTACCGGTGAGCCGCAGCACCATTCAGCTGACGCTGGTGATCTGTCTCATTCAGGGCTGCATGCGTGGCATGCTCTGGGATCGCTACCAGTTTGCATTCCATTCGGTCTTCAGCAAGGTGCTACATCACAAGGCCGATGCGGTAAGCCATGGCTATAAACGCCGCACACTGAGCCAGTTCCGTTATTTTCTCAATGGTTTACTATGGCATTCGTTATTTTCTCAATGGTTTACTATGGCATTCCCCAAGGTGTACTGTAAGTCGACGAATTTTCGGCCCATTCACATTTCGGCCTCCCAGGGCTAAAACCCATTTCGGCCGCATTGAATTTTCGGCCTGTACTGCTGCTGCCTGTATACACTGTCACACGGAACCTTGCAAAACGAAATTTCGGCCTAACATGACCAGGCCGAAAATAAATATGCGCCGAATATTCGTTGACTTACAGTAGCCTATAATTATACGACAGCTAGACCACTACATCGGACTGGGACAGTGAAGCCTAGTTCACATTCGACGCAACGCCGACGGTACGGGACGTAAGGGCTTGTCGGGAGGGCTGGGGTGAGCTGTAAAATCCTGTACGATTCGTACGACACGACATGCAGCAGTCGTTGCGACGTTCAACGTCGAACGGCGCGAGTCATAAGGCACGGTCCGTGACGGGGTGACTTTCGGACCTAATTTCTCGTTTTTCGGGACTTCTTTTCAATTATTTCTCCTTCAAAGAAGCGGAATCAAGTTCACAATACCAGTTTTTCATGAAGAATAAAAAATTAGCTCTGAAAGTTGTGGCATTCAAATAATAGCCCCAGGAAATGATAGAATAATTCATCTGTCACGCTTCTGAACTATCTCTAAATACAATCAGTGACATGAGATCTTATGTTGCTAAAATTCAGCTCAAGTCGTGCTAGCCATTCTGTGAGTTATCATGGGAAGCGCAGTGTTTGAAATGCTAAAAATGTCCAAGTACGAATCGGGAGTAGTCGGCGCACGACGGCGTCTCCTGTTCACAATCAAATTGCAGCCGTTTTGTACGCTTGCGTCCCCGTCTACGCCCGTCTACGGTATGAAAAGTTGGATCGATCCAACTCTTCCCGTCGCTTCCCGATCTGTACGGTAGTACGGTTGCGTTCCCGTTCCTGGTGTTCACATTGGACGCCGTCAGACCGTCCCGTCGCTTCCCGTCGATCCTTACGTCGCGTCCCGTCGCGCCCCGTCGAATGTGAACTAGGCTTGAGAGAGGTGGTCTAGTATTGCAGGAACTTCACATCTCTAGGAGACTCCCTTTGATAGGCATGCATTAGCCTCTCGAAAATCCCCTTGAAATAGAATGGCAATGTTGAATCTCTGGAAAGCTAAACGAAAGGCCCTTCCAAAAGTGTATTCGTTGGAATCCACTACTGCTTGACAGAGTTGTGAAACAACCAGGGACGTAGGCCGACTGGTTGATGGCATGCTACCCACGGACCAGGTAGTTCAGACAACTTTGGTCTCAAACAGTGCGAAACTGCAGTGGACCACCAGGCATGCAGACTACAGAGAGCCGGGAACCACTTGGAAGGCTACATACACACCTGGAATGTGTTGGCAATCTTCTTCAAATCAAAATGATAAAACTATTTCTTTTGTTTTTGTTTAAAAGGTTACTGTATGGTCAAACCCTGCCGTGCATTGTTTTGTTGTCCAAAATTAATACAAACCCCTTTCAATGCAAAAACCAGAAGAACACACAAGCAATCCTAGAAAAAATTGTAGCTGTTGTCTCCATATGAAATGATCACAGAGCTTGCCAGAGCGTATGATGTACTGGTCCCATCTTACAAACATGAAGCGCCTATGCCTGCCATCAATTACATGTACATTTCACATGTCCTTGAGAAGTTCGTGGAACAGCTGTCATAGCACTATCCCTGCAACGTCGTACATGCCACTGGCTTCCACACTCTGTCTGTGTTCCGTGCTGAGGAAGTGCAGGACCAGATGTTGCCCACGTGAGACTCTTCGGACAAACAATTACTTGTTGGCCGCCAACTGTTGTCAGAACTGTCAGAACTAACTTACGGCTGCTGTTACAGTGCTGTTCACTGGGGCATGAGCTGTGCTGACTGCTGAGGCGTGCTGCAGCAGTGCTGGTCCTGGCAGCTATGAGTCAGACAGTTCTTCCACAAGTAACCTGCACTCTGAATGCATGTGTGAACAGTCCTGCCCCCCCCCCCCCCCCCACAGTGCAGGACTTCTGTCTACGGGAATGTCCTGCGGTTATCAGGGTTACTGTGAACTAGATCTATGCAATTTCATGAAGGAGTGATCTTCGATATCAGTATGTTCTAGACTTCTAGATAAGTTAGGCCAAATTACAAAAAGCAGCATGCTCACTATACTCCTCTCATGCAGCTATACCGGGAATTTGGGCAGTTTTACCAGTTCACACATGTTTACAAATTAGGATAGGCATTCCATGGCAAAAAAATCATGAAGAAGCAGAAAACTCGGACCCTTGGGTTCTTGAGCCTTATTTCGGCCAAAACCTGGTTTTCAAAAGCTATTTTGGATGCATGGACTTGTTATTGTCACAGTGAGTTGGGTGGTCCACATTGTTGAAACACTCCATACCACAGCTATCTAAAGCATCCTTGTTGGGAAGAGCAGTGATTGAATGTGAACTTCGCTCTCTCTGTCTCCCTCTCTCTCTCTCTCTCTGTCTCCCTCTGTCTCTCTCTCTCTCTGCGATAACTGAATTCCTTTGCTCTTCTCAACTTGTATCCTTTCCTGTCTCTGTGCAGATGCTACAAGCTAGTATTTTCAATTCCACATTGACAAGAGCTGTCTTGTGGTTATGGAAGCTGTCATCAGCAGAAGGAATGCTGGGCTTTGTCTTCTTTAGCATATTTCTTGACTTCACTTGGGTAAGTTTTTATGACTTACGGTAGCACCTTCTTATGTTTTATTTTATTTTTACAATGCTGCGAATGGTTTCTCCGTGCAGACTTCACAAAGTTAGTTGCCACTGACTTCTAATGTAACGCCACGGAGATCCTACATGTTAAATCAAGCCCACGACTGAACCCTCAGCGTGGGTGTTTCTTGCAGTTGGGCCCACAATCCAAAATATTCTCACTGATATTCACCCACCCTCGCCCTTGCCGCTGCATCTGCCACCATGATATACCCGGCATGGTGGTGGCCTGGCACAAGCGAAACTTCCGAAGCTGGTTGTATTTCCCAACCCAATTCTATAGCAGGTGGTAACGCAATCGTGCTAACTTTTACTTTACCGTTAGATCGGGGTTGGAGCACAGTGCGCAGTAACAGACACCACACAACACCCTCCCTAAAATTAACTTTTTACTACCTAGGAGTTATCATTGGCTGCTGTTATAGTAAAGTTGATATCATCTGCATAGGTCACTAACCAGTAGTGCTGTATCCCCACTCTCTCTCTCTCTCTCTCTCTCTCTCTCTCTCTCTCTCTCTCTCTCTCTCTCTCTCTCTCTCTCTCTCTCTCTCTCTCTCTCTCTCTCTCTCTCTCTCTCTCTCTCTCTCTCTCTCTGTGTGTCTTCTGCCCGGTTGCAGCCAATGTTGGTTGTAATTCGGAAGTACGGTTTTATCCAGCTAGCAGTTGTTGTGACCATATCTCAGCTACACGCCTGGCAGGTGAGAACTAAGAGAATGCTGGCTCCACTGTGCCCTCCCTCCCTCCTCTCTCTCTCTCTCTCTCTCTCTCTCTCTCTCTCTCTCTCTCTCTCTCTCTCTCTCTCTCTCTCTCTCTCTCTCTCTCTCTCTCTCTATCTATCTATCTATCTATCTCTCTCTCACTGAGAGGTTTCACAGACTGCCATGGCACACAATCTAGGCGAACATAAGCCACGGGGCTAGATTTTACTGCTGGGGAAACTGTGCCAGAAGGCAACCCACCAATACAAACGTCTTTTCTGCAAAGTATAACCGCATGGGTTTGGTACTCTCTATCTTAGCGCCTAGATGCCCGTGGAGTAGGCGAGCCATGAGAAGCTGTGAGGTATTAACTACGCTGTGCAGTTGAGTTCAGTCAACATGACCGGTATGGTCTCTTCGTGCATGTTCACAACTGTGGCACGATATCCGTCACAAACCTCTGACGCGCCATAAGATAAAGCATTGGTACACTTCCACCAGTTATTCACGGGCAACCTGCGGACTCTCTGTGAATTGGTGCCACCAGTTCTACGCCAGGGTTGCTGCTACGGAGGTATAGGCTGCTTTTCCTGATCCTGCATGAGAAGAGCATGCAATTGCGAATGCCGTACTCGCAGACAAATGAAGACGTACAGGGTACTTGTAGCTTGTACCGTAACCACCTGACCACCTGACTTAGCACAGAGCTCACTGCATTTCTTGCAGTTTGACATCTCTGACTTTGGCAGGCTGCACTGACTGTTGCTTTTCCCCTTGCCGAAGCTTGATTGCGACCAGTTCGGCCAGGCATTAAAAGTTCTGCCGGTGAGACTAAACAACGTTGAAATTAGTGACTTGAAATGGCTACCAGCAGGTGAACATACATGTAGATAGATAATATTAGATATGATGGTCCGGTACGGTACACTCCTTCTACTTCTCTCACTATTGCGCACAGTGACATGATATTGCCGTTGATTGCTTTTGCCTCTGTCCACAGGTTAGTGAGCTTCTGGCAAAGGCTGCATGACCTAGAGCTCAGCACTTGATTACACGATTGACTTGACCACTCCACTACTCCAGCAGCATGCCAGGCATTGCAGTGGGCACCCCCATGAAACAAGTACAGCAATTTGTACCGATGTTCAAGATTTTTGTTGGACTTGATGTCAGGCCGCTTCTACCGATCTATTTCGAAGTTAGTGTTCCGTCCTATGTCGACATTAGAATGTTGCTTGCTTTTCTTGCATTGATATATTATCAGGATTTTGTTTACTTCAGAAAGGCACGGGCCAGTGCATTTTTGGACGTTCTATTTATTTCTCAATGCCACCCAAAGGCTATACTGTATAGACCTTCTGGTTTAGACGAGATCGAGAGAAAGAGAGAAGTGTTTCCTGCTCTATGCACATTATCTACCGCAGACACGGGTAATAGTGGCATCATCCTGCACTTCTGCCTATATTATGATCCAAATCTATAATAATTCTCTCAAGTTTAAAACTTCTCTCTTTCCGTTTGCAGCGCGGGCATGTTTTGACAAATTGAATCTTAGGTGTTCGATATGTTCCAGCATTTCCTTCTGTTCAAAAATCTAACACTTCCAAATTTCTCGTTTCTGGTTATCAAAAAGATGAGCTTCAGCTCTGACGTAAATTTCTTTTAGTGTTTTCTGAAATTCTAAATGGAAATTTACTGGTGGTAGTTGGTGGTGACGCAGGCAGGTACTGTGGGTTGGTCCATGAGCGTGATTGCGAACCAAGAGAGGTACCGGGGTCAAGTCCTGCTTGGAAAGGAGACAACCTTTCCAGCCGTGCTGCGGCCCACGGTCAATTGGGAACTTGTGTGTGTGTGTGTGTGTGTGAGAGAGAGAGAGAGAGTACACAGATGTGGCAAATGGGGCTGCATAGGTACTTGTACCATTGTAGGACGGCACATCTGCCATGCAAAACTCAAGGTAATGTTTGATGCTTCCTGCAGCTTCAATTGTTGTGGGTTTGTAGCCATGTCTCAACCATAGCACTCACACCTTTTTCTTTCTTTTTTTACACTGTGTTCGACGTTTTAGGGAGCATAGTCAGAATAAGAACCAACTCTCTGGCACTGGGAGAAACAGGGGTTAGTGCATCAGTTGTTGTATAGGAAAGCTTGATTGCACTGCGTGGAAGCTCAGTGAATCAGTTGAGGTCTGTTGCGACACCAAGCCGACCATCAAGCTCAACAAGGGATCAGTGGGAACTCGTGAAGTGTCACACTTGACTTAAACGTACTGTACTGCCCAACACTGCACGAGTTATGCTGATACAATGACGTCATGTACTGGACTCCTCACCAATACTAGTACCTAGTTGTATAGAAATGTTGAATACACTGAGTCTGTGAGTCTGTACAGTACTGCACCCCTCGTTGTGCTGCACTTCACCAGTTGTAGTCTTCGGGGTGCTGAGTCGAATGGTCTTGGTCCGAGGAAGCTGAGACGCTCCCTTCCTACTTTAATCCCAATCGAACTCGCGCACTTCCACCGAAACTGGGTGACTGCGCCCTACTACTACTAGATGGGGATTTGTATGCAAAATGTCACTAAAAGCGCCATTTCGTTCTTATAAAAGCACGGATGACCGCGATTGGCCCATATGTTGTAGTCTTTTGGACGCTGAGTCGACTGGCGTTGGTCCGAGAAAGCTGCGATGCAGCGTTCCTCCTTTATTCCCAATCGAACATGCTTGAACAAGCGGTCACCTGGTCACCTTGCCTGCAGGGTACAGCTTACAGCCTGTTTGACCTTTTTTGGGTGCAGTCCTGTCACTCGAGTTGAACCTTGGTAAGTGTGTGGTGTGAAAGTTGTCGCCTGCTGGCTAGTCAAAGCCCGAAATTGCCCGGCCCGGGCCGATAAATTGCGGCAATATTTTGCTGCCTCTTTTTCGAAAATTTGCCTGGCATTTCTTTTGGCAGTCGAAATATTGCTCTCAAATTGCTCCCAAACAGGCTGTAAATGAGCACGTAACCGCTTACTCAAACAGAAATAAGGGCCGAACGCTGCATCGCAGCCTTTTCGGACCAAAACCAGTTGACTCAGCGGCCAAAAGACTCCAACATATGGACCAATCGCGGTCATCCGCGCTTTTATAAGAACGAAACGGCGTTTTTAGCCCAGTTTTAGGGAGGAAATTCAAAATTCCCATCTGAAATCTAACGCTTTTCGATAAATTGCTCAAAAATTGCCGGCAATCTGGCATTTCGATATATTGCTCAAAGAATTGCCGGCAATTTCGGGCTATGACTACTGCTGGCGCTGTGACCAGGTGACTTGGGCATGCAGGAGCACATGACCGCTTGTTCAACCATGTTCGATTGGGAATAAAGGAGGAACGCTGCATCGCAGCTTTCTCGGACCAAAACCAGTCGACTCAGCGTCCAAAAGACTACAACATATGGGCCAATCGCGGTCATCCGTGCTTTTATAAGAACGAAATGGCGCTTTTACACGTGACATTTTGCATACAAATCCCCATCTAGGAGGGCGCAGTCACCCAGTTTCGGTGGAAGTGCGCGAGTTCGATTGGGATTAAAGTAGGAAGGGAGCGTCTCAGCTTCCTCGGACCACGACCATTCGACTCAGCACCCCGAAGACTACAACTGGTGAAATTATTTAATTATTTTGATTTTAGGCTTAACTTCCCCTTTAATTATCCTTACCTTTGCCCACCAAGGAAATCGGAATACTGTATTCAAACTCGATGGTACGTACATGTACATGTGTACGGTAGGTATTACTGTATCAAGAGTACTCTTGGTATTATGACGAAGATCCACCAAGACCTGGATCAGCAGGATCAGGCGTTGCACACTCTGGCCTCTCTGGGGGGGTTATGTACTCTTGATGTTACCGACTCTGAGCAGGCAGGAGATCGGAGATGAAGCAACTCGGGCTGCCACAATGACTATTATGTGACATCTATGGGAAAGCTAGTACGCTGTACTAAGCCTACTACCAGGGAGTCGTAAATACCGGTATTTTACGACTCCCTGCCTACTACTCGCGGACCAAGCCAAGAGTAGAGATCAAGCACAAAAATGAGGATTGAGCTGAGGTTGGCTCACCATGCACCACTGACGCTGTACTGGCCTGGTCCGGCCATGAGCGAAAATAATACCTGCGAAAGTTTGTTTCACGTTCAAAGCAGCTGCGCGTGCGAACGTTCAACGTAGTCATGATACTGATAGTCGTTGGCGCATGGCACAAAGACAAGTATATAAGTACAATGTAATAATTATTATTACAGTCCATTCAGAAAAAAATGAACTTCTAGCTTTTGGCCATAAATGGGTCAAACGTTGAGTTTCTTTAGAATTTTTTTCTGCAATCCCATATGGAATCCTCTTCCAATTATGTTTCTGAAGTTTTTTTGTCCAAAAAGCAAGCCATAGCAAGAATAGGATTTCGGCCAGGTTTTGCCCCAAAAGCACTGAATTGGGAAAAACCATCAAAATCCAGGCCGTTTGACCCCGCCTGCAACAGTGCATTCTGCGGTTCGAACCCCAGTTCAGGCACCCTTTTTGGACCCTTTTTCAAATTTCAAAGTTCGCAGCACTGCACTGTGTACGATGAAATCACGAAAAATCGCCAAATACGGGAGCTCGCCAGAGCCAGGACCCATCTTTTTATGAATGGACTGTAGTTTCGCTTCTCGTCAAACGAAAATTTGCGCAAACGTTCACCATGTTCACTCTGCAAAATTAATTAAAAACCTCTCTTGCTGTTGTTTCAAAAGTAACAGCCGCGGGGCGGGGCCGGTTGGCGCGGAGGGGAAATCCCTCAATCCTCCCACGCGTACCTACTTTCCGTAGATCTACGTCTTGTCAGTGTGTCTGTTTTGGACGATGCCTGCTCTTGTCCTTTTACATCAGATATTGAAAATAATGCTGTGAGTAGTGGCCGAACCTTTGAGGCCTCGAGGGTGACATCTCAACAGCCTCTTGTCTCATCTACCACCGGAATAGCGCCTGCGTGTAGTGTGTACTGTTGCCTCAAAACCGGAGAAAACTGCTTCAATCTCCTTGTCTTTCGCGCCGGCCAATACTTGGCCAGGCTAAGATTAGTAATGGACGGTGGTGTACTTTCGCGGTACGGCTTGGTATCACCTCCTGTGATCTTCTGTCTAGTTCTCGGTGCTTCATTCGTCGTTGCTGATCTGTATTTCTATGGAGTATTGGGTAAGCTACCATGCCAGGCGTCCAATTGCTCGTCTACGGTTCCGAGGCCGTCCGTGAAGCTCATGATGCAAGATCATATGTGTCATCACGTTCATCACTACGCAGCAGAGGCATTTGAAAGTTATACTCACTTGTCTGAACTTCCCTTCATAACCCCGAACTTTATTACAACAATGCACATATTTGTAGGTGCCTTTGGTGCATACCTAGTGTCGTCTGAGAACTTCAAAATCCGCCAAATTGCCGTTGGTGTATGTCAGTTCAGAATATTCTTGGACATGCTGGATGGTGTTGTGTTCAGACGACAGCTGAAACATTCAATGTACGTCAACGGTTGGGGAACTCTTGGCTACTATATTGATGCTGGTGCAGATATACTGGCATCTTTCCTCTTGGTTTATGGCCTATTTATCTACCTGGTTCGACAACCGCCTCGCCGTAGCGAGGGTCTACCCCTACGTACTAGTCCACCGGAACCAATAACGGACATGCCCGTCAGCCGCAGCACCATCCAGCTAACACTAATACTCTGTCTTATTCAAGGTTGCCTCCGTGGATTGTTCTGGGATCGCTACCAATTTGCCTTTCACAGCATCTTCAACAAAGTGCTACATCACAAGGCTGATGCGGTAAGCGAATAGTGGCTTGAGTTACTGTAGGAAACCCAATGGCGATAGTTAGGAGCTGAGCATGAGAACTGATGTGGATCAGAGTGAACAATGCCGGGTGTTCTTCTGAAGGCTACCAGCTCAATGCAGCCTCTCACCTTATCTGTAAAAGCAGTGTGTGTGTGTGTGTGTGTGTGTGTGTGTGTGTGTGTGTGTGTGTGTGTGTGTGTGTGTGTGTGTGAGTACACCGCTGGGGTGAACTGGGATTGTACGAGCACTCCGAAACGGAAAAAAGGGGAAGAAAAGAAAAAGAGAAAGCAATTTATAAATGTGCAGTGGGTAAGCAATGGTGCCCTTCATGTGCATCCAGAAGACATCTACAATATAGCTCACACCTGTTGCCGTTTAGTTTAGGGTAGAACAGAGTTGACATGCGGGGTTAGGAGTGTTCATGCAGTGGGCCGTGAAAGCCTTCTTTATTTCTTTGTCCATTTCCAATGGTTTCGGTACAATCTACATTTGCGTGAGGCCTGGTATCGTTAGGGCCGTTTAGACGAGTATCCCAAAGCCGTGCGTGCTGAATCAAGCAAACAATGCCTTTGCAGACTCCAAGGTGGCTTGAGGCGGTCTGGTTTGCAATACACATAATTTGATAAGGTGGTGTCTGCTACATCTCATGTTATCATGGCTTGACTGCTCCTGCTCAAAGTCATGTAATGCACTGAGTCATGTAGGTACTTCCTGTCATGTAGGGCTGGATGTGCCACACTCTTCCTGCCTGTGTGCTCAGAATGCACAGCTATGCACAGCTGCTGTGCATTGCGCCTCCTAATAAATAGTTCATATTTTGGCGAGATACATAGCTGATTTGCTATGCATCCAGCTGCGTTGAGCTAACTTTGGATTGGACACTGACGGATTAAAATTGTAGGCAATGGGTGACGCTGGTGCGAGTATGTGTGTGTGTATGTGTGTGTGTGCATGTGTGTGTGTGTGTGTGCATGTGTGTGTGTGTGTGCATGTGTGTGTGTGTGTGTGCATGTGTGTATGTGTGCATGTGTGTGCCTATGTGTATGCGTGTGTATGTGCATGTGCGTGTGTGTCAACCTGTCGGAAGGCTACCTTCTTGCCAAAGCATTTGGAAGTTGGACTACTGTAGTTTCAGCTCTATAATCCAGCTATTAGTGTGTTGTTACTACAGCTTTCATGGCTGAGTTGGTAAAGTAACCCCAATTTCACTTCAAGGTACCAGTGAATCTAGTGTCTGCTTCTATCCAAGCAGTGTGCTGTCCAAACTGGTTACCCAAGCAAGCGTAGGGTGTACACAGGTATCTGGCTTGGCTGTCCTTTTCTGATGTGCTCCGTGTGGTGTAGACCAGGTGTGCATTGGGGGTCGATATACATGGCTTCGCCAGTTGTGTGGGTTAGGCAGCTATCTGGCGCTAGTCTTGATCTGTTTCATTCGGATCTTGTCATGTCCGCTGTTGTTGCTATAACAGAAAAGCTGTGGGTGTACAACCATTGCATTTGCAGATTTGCGTGCTTCTCTTGCGACCGGCGTACATAGTATGGTGTGTGTGAGGGAGGGGGGGGGGGGGGGGACAATGGATGTAGAAAGGTGGCTTTGACCCCCCCACCCCACCGTTCTCAGACTCTTGCTTTGTGTGTCCGTCTGTCCGTGTTTGCACGTGCTCTTTTTTATTTTACTATTTACTTTGTTTTCAATGCAGATGCTGCAAGCTAGGATTTTCAACTCGCCACTCACCCGATTTGTCTTGTGGTGTTGGAAACTCTCATCTGCCGAAGGAATGTTAGGCTTTGTCTATGCAAGCATATTCCTTGACTTTGTTTGGGTAGGTTGCGGATTGTTTCGGCTGGCTTTGCATGTGTATGCCCTTCATTGCATAAGGAGGTTTCACGCAGAAACACACCCTAACAAGTTTAAATTACGGTGAAAATGGGAAACTTGTCAGCGCTAGAAGCGCTTTCTAGGTTCGGCCTGGTCCCATAACTCAGATAGTTAGAGCATTGCTCATGACAAGCAAGGTGCCTAGTTCCATAACTCAGATAGTTAGAGCATTGCTCATGACAAGCAAGTTCCAGCCCCGGGTGGGGTTGTTTTTTTTCCGCTTTTCTGGCAGTTCACTTTCAATGGCTGTTTTAATACCTTGAAAACAGAAAATTCATTATTTCGAAGTATCCTGGATGTTACATGAAGTGGGATACTGATGCTAGTGGTTGTTTTGTACAAAGTACAGTTCTGGATGGCCGACGTTGCACAACGCCAGTTACCGTAAAAGCCTCTGTATACGCCCACTCGAAATAACGCCCACCCTTCGTGTACACGCCCGGTCAGGAGAAGTCAACACTTTTGTTTCAAAATAGCGCCCATGCCCATGTATACGCCCAAGTATGCCGGCAATACCAGTACATGTACAGGTACCGATACCCAATACTTACTGCTATGTTGATGTATGTGTTTCAGGATGGCTTTTCCCAACCAGAAGCGGGGATACTGTATTTTATAGTGTGCACGCTCAGCTAAAAAATGAAATGGATACAGTTTCGAGTCGTGCTGAGCCAGGGGAGAATTTCAACATTTGTATTCCAAGTATACGCCCGGTTCCAAAATAACGCCCGCGCCCTTGTACACGCCCAGGAAATCGAGGCTGCTATTCTATACGCCCGGGGGCCTATACACGGGCTTTTACGGTATTTCACCACGAGTACACTACCACAGTACCTCGCCTTCAAAGTACATATTGTTATGTCACTTGCGGGTACGCTGTACTGAAGTCTCACTGTACTGAAGTCTCGCTGTACTGAAGTCTCGCTGTACTGAAGTCTCACTGTATGTACAAAGAATCAAGAGATATACTACATGCACCAGTTCAAGATCAGTTTGCACACTTCTTGCAGCTTCTCTCTAAGAAATGTGTCTTGTTCCTGATGATGGTCGAACACCGGAACATTGAGCAGTAATTTAAAATTACACGTGGTATCTGCAGAAGGTGCAGTAGAGATGCGGAGTGGGCACACGCCTGCTTATCTACTCTTGATGTAACTTACTGCAGTGCGGGGGGGGGGGGGGGGGCAAATACAACGCAGAGTGCATGCAAGTGCTTCGGAGAGTGGAAGCTACAGTCACCAACTGTAGGTGCATGTAACGTCACTATTTCCGTTGGACAACGTTGTTGTGCTTTGTTAATTCTGTTTTTCCTGCCCTGGCATGCTCACAGCCTATGCTGATTGTATTGAGAAAGTACGGCTTCATCCAGCTGGGAGTTGTTGTCATCATCTCCCAGCTACATGCCTGGCAGGTATGTGGGTCTTCTTTGTTTTATACATGTACCAGTACTTCACGTCATATCTTAACAATTTCACAAAGTACCATTCCAGCCGGCTAACTGAGGGGCCGTTAACATGAGAAAGATAAACCCCGGGCTTCTTCAACCCTGTAGGCTTACTACAAGCCCGCCTTTTTCTGTCACCCAGTCATTTTAGAGCGCACATTTACATGGTGTGGCGGGCCTATTCAGCTCACCCCGAGCTGAACTAGCCCTACCCTTCATCCCCGAGCTTATCCAACCCCCAGGGCTTCTTTTCTCCTGTAAACGGTCAAGGAAATAAGCCCTGGGCTTATACGCGGGTTTTTCCGTATTTTTCTATTTTGCCTCGTGAACCTGAGAGGATTTCGTCGTGGCCAATGCGTCTCTTTGTTTCTCTTCTTGGGAAATTTTCTTCTGCTTTTTCGTTCACTGAAGGCTTCACCTTTTCGAAAATAAGTGACAATTGGAAAGGCAGTAGAAGCGTGAGCAGGCACTTCTTGATCCAAATTTCATCATTCACGAACATTTACCACTGCCTTCAACATGTGCGAGTTTAAAATAAAATGCGCGCATAACTCGCAGTCACCCACCTGAACTCAGCCCCGCCCACCTGTCACGTAAACGGTTTAAAACCCGAGGCGAATAAGCCCCTGAGAAATTAAGAATACTTCGTTGTGTGCAATGTGCTTGTAAATCCGCTTCAATCGATTAGCAATCACGCTAATACCTGACAATACAGGTGCACTTGCGTTGTCAAGGCTCTTGTGACAGTTAACATCTCAAGTTTCATTCTGGAGTTGAAGGAGGCGAGGGTTGTAGATGTGACGTTACACGGCGTAGCTACTGCTGTGCTTACTGGACTACTGGGGACTGCGTGCAATGTGGATGCGTGACACTGTGATCACAAGTGCAGTACCTGTCAACTGCTGGGACACAGTCGAAACTTTTTTCGGTACCCACCGCGATTCTTTTACTGGTCCTCAGGCATCCCGGGAACCACCCATGTACTACACCCTAGCCAAACAGTCCTAGTGTATTTTTTAAATAAAAAACAGCAAAATTACACTGTACTCGTACAGGAAAGGGTTTGTTGAAACTTTGTTTCCCACACTGCAGCTCACCCTTTTCCGCCGACTTGACCTGACACTTGACTATTTTGTAAAATAAGACTTCTCCATGAGTTTGAAGGAGTTGAAACGGGAATGGTTGGGAGAAAGAATTGACTGCCACCACCAGGACTCGAACCAGGGACCCTCGCATATGGCCAGCGATGCTCTACCCAAGCTTTGGTGTAATCGTCACCACCAAAAACATGAGTACTTGAAGTTCTACATCACAGTCCGACCGTTGTCATGGCAGCGATGGCTCTTTGAATACACCTGGACCATTGTTCTTTGAATACACCTGGACCATTTTTCGTACACGCTCGAACAGCAGATTGTTCACTGCTGTTGACTCTCCCACTGGTATAGTAATTGGACAGGTGCTGGGGCTGGGGGCATTGCTGGTACAAAACTCGGCATGCAACATAATGGAGATCAGCATTCACCCACTGTACACAGTCAACTGCGTGCCCGGACCCCATAGTTTGCAGTCATGTTCCCCAAGCCATGCACCATTTTCTTACTTCAGCGGTGTTGCCCATTAGAATTGATAAGCAGCCTGTGCTTATCTTGTCTTGTAATCTTGCTTCCTGTCTGCCTGTACAGATTGGCGAGCTACTTGGCAAGGCTGCATGAAGCTAGGATCGTCACTTGACTATATAAATTGACTTGACCAATGTAGAGTTTTATTACTAGTGAGATGATGCGGCTCAAGGAACAAATACAGTTGCATTTGCCCTGTATTTCCAATACTATTTTTTCTTACTTGCTGAACTCGACCTGAAATTACCTCAACCCTTCAGCTTCACCTGTCTGTTGTTTCGTTGTCTCGTGCTTCCCCCATTGCCAGGTGTCTCTGCACTCCCCTGTCTGCTAGGACCTATTACTGTATTAGCTTGCTGGGAGAGCCCAGATAGTAGTAGTGTCAAAACTCTTTGAAGTTCTCTGTCCAGCATGCAGGCTCTTTCTCTGGCATGTATTTCTTTTCAAAGCGAAGCTGGCACAAAAAAAATTAAAAACTAAACTAAAGAGAAATGCATACTGATACTACTGGCTGGCTTGGCCCTCTTCAGTCTGAACTGTCTTGCTCTTACAAGTATATCCATTTTACGCTCAAAATGAATAGTATATTTTGCGTGCAGCTTAGAACTCCATATTTATAGTTCAACTTTCATATTTTCCAGCCAGTTCATATCCATCAAAAAAAGTTTTAAAAATATCAAATCGTCCGTATCTCTTATCTCTCTTCTTTTTGTCTTCTTTGTTTACGGCGGTCAATGGGTGTGTGGACTGCAGTGCATGACACAGTCCGTTTCCATTCAACGGCACTTATGTACATTGCAAGAACAGAACAAGAGCTCCCTGCAAGAGTGTGCATCTTCATTCGTACATGCCTCCGGGCCAGGGCGCACTGGTGACAACTGTTGGGGGGTGGGTCGATTCACAATACTGAACCTGCACATCAGTTCGATGCTGGCATGTTGTGCATTGCATTCGGTCAATCAACCTGCACTGTAGGCCCTGGGTGCACCCCAGTCATAACCATCAGTCATACCTTCTCTCACACTTGATGAAAACAACAAAATCTAGAACTCTGCGACATAAAACGTCACAAAACCGAAAGAAAGAAAAAAAGGATTTAAGGATAAAGGAAAAAACCCGATCTGTCCTTCAAGGACGAAATGTCGAATACACCCGAGTGCAGTGTACGGATGCACCTCGCTGGCTTGAAACGACCAACAATAGTGCACAGATGATATCAAGACAACGACGTACCCTATAAAGGTGTGTGTGTGTGTTGGGACGGCAAAACAAGTCTAAACCATAGGTGGCAATCTCACACAGGCTCTGGCCATTCTGCTCTCAAGTGTACTGTTGAAGAATCCAGTGTTGGTCAAGACATAAACACTTTGTCTAGGAATAACTAATCGTCGTGAGAAATTGAAGACCAGATCGTTGCACTGGAACAGTTCAAGCATTACCTTTGTCAACCCAATGCCTCCGAAAGGACATCAAAGCTCATCACGAACAACTTGGCCGCTTCTCGCACGGCAGGTCGACACACATTGCCGCCAAATCCAATGAACATGTGCTGAACGAGACACAGAGCAAAGAACAGGAGACCTCTTGCCAGTCTTCCAACACATTCACAGGTCCCTCGTTGATTTCAGTCTTCTGAACGTTGGTGGCATCTTTGTTGCAATGCTAGGATAAGTTACTGCTGACAACACAATACTACTCACCGCGGGTGGACTCGCTTCCATGTCTGTTGCACCATCTCCAATCATAGCCACACTGAGCACACAGGGGCATACACATCATAGTAGTGACACGCGGTCACCCACACGCACATATACATACATACATGCCGTATTATTTCTATCATAGACTCCAGGCGCCAGGCGCGAACTGATGGTGGTGGTGGTGAGAAGGAGAGCTCTGTGCCAGAACTTTGCAGCCTAGAGAGCGTGTGTGGGCAGGCGTGTGTTTACCGCCATATTGCCAGGTGTGTCTTTACCACCATATTTATCAACCATAAGTACAGCTGCAGTGGTGTCTTCGACTTCATTCTCCCGAGTCAAGCTCCGTATGAAGACATCCAAGAAGAAGATTGCCTGATGAGTCCAGCGGGGACGAAACGTACGTCGCAATCGAGCTATGTCGTTGCTGTGTCATCATCTATGTGCCATGCGCTACTTGATGTACCAGCCTGCTATGCCGGATACCACCAGCCATGCATCGACCAGGCGCCAGGCGCGAACTGATGGTGGTGGTGGTGAGAAGGAGAGCTCTGTGCCAGAACTTTGCAGCCTAGAGAGCGTGTGTGGGCAGGCGTGTGTTTACCGCCATATTGCCAGGTGTGTCTTTACCACCATATTTATCAACCATAGACTCCACGGATATACTTATTATGTTTCAAACCGTCTTGACCACTAGCTTTCATTGGAGACCGTGCCTATAATTTTTTCAACCTGTACGTATTATCTTATCGCCTGCAAAACTCCAATGCAGCTACTTACACACTGCACTAATAGTGTTAGCCCTTCGAAAGGGGTACATGGTGCACTTGTATTAGAGCTACGGGAGACCGTGCTTGCACCAGAGAGATTATGGTATCTTGTTCCGTCGCTCTTTGCATTGCCACCCCAATCACGTGTCCCGTATCAAAGTGTGTATTGAATACACTGTTACAGCTAGGCTCCTCAGCACCCACATGTACAGCCTTTGGCCGCTTGGGTCATCCTAATAAAGATATTAGTAGGCCACACCCGGAAGAAGTTTTTTGTTTCGGGTAAACATGGCCAGAAAAATCCCGGTCGGTCGGTGGTCTTTCTCTCTTTAGGTGTGATAATTGTTATGCATGCCAGACCGGTACGGTATGCACATTTCAGTACACAGCCCAGATAGAAAATGTGTGGTCAATAAATCAAGCACACATGCAGACCACATACTAGTAGCATGCAGCTCGCCAGGAACAGTCAAACTGGTCATACTCAGACACCAAGCAGAGCAGAGACGCGAGGCGTTGTGCATCAACACATCATTCAGCGATCGTCGCGGGCCAGGAACTACAGCTTCCTGTTGCTCCAACGTAAAGAAAAAGAATCGGCGTCCGAACTCCAAATGAAGTCCAACATTATCACTCGTGTCAGCCCCGTTGTGGCTTGACCCGGTTTCGGAAGCAAACACTGCTTTGAAGCGAGTGACGCCTTCTAGATGAAGAGTTTCTAACAAATTGCTCAGGGTACGTGACTCAAACAATGCAGCTGTTGACGACGGTCCAGCCGCCGTCAACTACTGTAAGAGTTGAATGTCTAACGGGGGCAAAAGTCTAACATTTTAACGAGAAAGAATCCATCGTTTTTAATAGCTCAAGAAACATTACACGTATGTTATGCCTTCTCTCTTCTGTACTAGAGGAATAGAAGACAGGTGTGCAATGGCAGGGTCGTTAAACTCTGTGCCTGCGAAGTGAGAATTTTTTTTGCAAATCGTTAAACTTTAGACTCGTCACACTTTCAACTCTTACATTATAGTGAGTCTGTGACGGAAACGTTTTTCCACTAGAGTTTCTAAACCAAAACATGTCAGTGTCGAAAATGTTACGGTTGGCAAATAGAACCACCATGCAACAAATCCGACTGGATTGAGTCAACTCGAAACAAGGGACTGAACTGTCTAGCCGGCTAGAGCCAGGAGCAGGAAGGAAGAGCCTTGGCCTCGGACCTGGCACAACGAGAAGTGCGAGCATGTACATGTACATGGGTATGATGCGCATATGCATGAATGCATACAACAACAACAACAACAAAAATCGGTCGGCGCTCAAAACATTGGTCGGTCAGGTCACCCAAAACTAAGGATTTATTCGGTGAGGCCTTACTATTATTATTACAGCACCAGTCACAGACCAATGTATGTACACCCTACAGTATGTCTTGTGACAACGCCCGAGTTCCAGGGTGTGCATGTTCTATTGCAAGCCGGCTAACGTTAGACAGCAGTGTATGTGTCAGTCTCCACCATTGCAAGCCTGCTAACTCTTGGAGAGCTTCCGACTCACTTCTTATACGAGTTCTGTTCAATGAGGTCAGCAATAACTCGCCCCTTGCCACCAGTGTCTGCAGTATAGGCGGAAGGATCAAAGTTCGCATAGCGCCCTGCATCATGAAACACAAAACATGCAGATAATCTTTGAGAGCCTTTGAATGCATGCCGGCGGCTTGGAAATACTGCCCGTGTGTTCGAGGTATTCTGTTGGTAGAACAGAGGATATAACGTGAGGTGATAACTACCATTTCCTAAATAAAAAAAGACAGGGCCGGAGAAAGGAGTTTGGGAGTGGTCCGGCCAACGTTTGAGCGGGGTCCAGGGGACCTCCCCGGGAGAAATTTCGAAAATTTACGTGAAATAGAGCGAACTTCGGCATCTGGTGAGGCTCCGGAAAATGACCAAAATCATCATCAAAGAACTCAAACACAACTTTTTTATCCTATTAAAGTCGCACAGTACCAGTGATGGTAGCATCCAAGAGATTAAACACTGTAAGGAAAAGGTTAAAAAAAAGAAAAGAAAAAAAGATAAAGACTTCAGTAACTGTGATCTCGTGTCGACATCTCCGTGTATGCTATCAGTGAATAGTATTGATACGATCGACTCCCTCATAGGACCTCAGTCCCTGGCGCGGCCTGGTGTACATGTACATGCATGCTGTGTACGTGCGTGCACAATCTGCGCGGGCTTACCTGGCTTATCGAACGAACGGATACTTTCGGCTTCTTCGATTATCTCTTTCGATCGAGTCTCTTCTGTCTTGTGCGATGTTTTCGCTCATTTCCACTGTTGACTAGTGCATACAATTTCGATAGGAGTGACTCGTGCTACTTTGGTGGAAGGTGAACACATGAGGTTGTGCTGCAGAACAATCCTCATCATGGAGTCCTGATGACAAGTCGACAGTACAGTCATGTACTTCTGAGAATTTTTTACACCGGTTTTGCACGAATCAACATGGACCATCCAGCCGGGAAAGTGGTCCGGCCATGACCGGACCAGCCTCGCCGGTTCCGGCAGCCCTGAAAGAGAAGAAAAAAGAACTCCCCAGGCTCTCTCCCTTTCAGCTGACCGGAGCAATCCACAGTCGATCATTCCCAGGCCATACATACCTTCATCATCAAATATCACCTTGTTGCAGAAGACATTCGATTCTGGAATGCCCAATGACTTAGCAACCGGCAGGATCAAGCGCAGAAAGCCGCCAGATATCAGGTAGACGGGAACTTGCTTGGTTTGCAACTTGGTGATTAATTCCCTGCATGGCAGCAACGGTGGACAAATTGTCAGGAAAACATCGGATGGGCTTAATTAAAAATCACGCAATTACAGTACGGTGTAGATGAAATCTGGCAGTCTGAAATGCATGTTCCCAAAAGAGAACAGTGGAACATGAAGGTGAAACCCTAACACACAGTACAGTCAAATACCGTACTCGTACTTCAAAAAAGTACATCTATAACATTCGATATCACATGACTCAGAGGCAGTCCAGTTAGTGGACCAATTCGGATCAGGGTAGTTTGACCTTGGTGGTGGCCAGCCCCGTGACAATACACTCATACCTCTCTTATCCGGACCTCAACGGTACAGGCATCTCGGTCTACCGGGCACCATGTGGGTGAGGTTTAGTGGACATACTACTACTACCCTTCTGCCAATTATCTGTGTGGAAACAGTGACGTCATATGCCAGATGTCTGGCACGAGTCCCCATCATAATATATGTGATTTAAAGTTACGCACATTTCCAAGTTTATGCACAGTCAACCCGGTCTCGGACCGCCCGAATAAGAGAGATAATATCATGACAGCAGACACCTACTAGTAACCTATACTACACGACTAAGAGAGATACGACAATAGGTGTACTACTGAACAATCTCAGAGTAAGGTCACCAACAGAGCAGCACGGCGGGTCAAAGAGCAAGTTACATTGCTTACTGGACACCGGGTGTCAGTGAGAACGCTCGCTTGCTGCTGAACTCTTCCATCTACGCACGAATGAAGACATCATGAACAGGAAACATATCCATGAGCCAATGGAGCACAAGTACACATACAGGTTTGAACAATGGTCCGCGGCAGTATGCCTGAGCTCAAACCCAGTCGAGCAGTAAGGCCACTGTTGTCATCACAGCCACAGCAGCTGAAGATGATTTCGTAGAAAGTACACGGCATTAGATGACAGCATTCAGGCAATACGCAAAGCATGCGGCTACTGAAGTAAGTGAGTGTGGAAGATAGAGATTTAACCATGATCAGTACCACCCACTGGCTTGAAACAAACAATGAGTCTGGGCTGAATAGATCACGGGCAGAAGCGCACGTTCAATGACCTGCATTTGCTATCGATAAAGTTTTTGGTTATAGAGACATGATCATGCGTGACTTCATCAGTCTCGACATGGATCCCCCAGCTAGATGGCCGATTTGGCCAGAAAAAGCAACACTACATTTTCGGCATCTGGTGAGGCTGCTTTTTTAAACTGAATTGATACTCTGGGAATCGGGGCCAAGCATCGTTTCAGAACTGAGAAATCACAGCCATATAAATTATGATATGTACCTGCGATAGTGTTGGTTGAATGATTTCTAAGCGCTTTGCCAGCGCCTCCCTAAACGATAATTTCCCACCCATTGCTTGCATAGTTCTGAAAGGCAAAACAAAAGCAAAGACAAACAGGCATTGAACTGACAGAACAGTACGGCAACAGTGAGCCACATTCCCGGATCCTCAGGCTGTCATGGGCACTATACTGCTTCAGCTACTCTAGTAATGTGCTCATGACCGCGAAGTTAAAAAAACAACAGAAATGCACTTACACCATACAAGCAACTCTTCATGACGGTCATGTGACCATGTGACTATTAGTGCACACGGTTTACATGCTGCCCTGCAACTTTTGAATCGTTCTAAACGAAATATGTTCGCTAGAAAGGGTCAATTTCGTATGGGCTCAAACAGGGACATGGACCGTGAGTGGTTCGCTATATCACGAAATTTGCTATAGGCGAGTTCGTGATAAGTGGGGTCCGAGTTCGACTGTATATCCAATCAAATGAAACGGGAAAATGTATGCAGAGGAAAACTTCCCAGATTACGGGTACGTCCGTTTACCAGGCACCTTTCTGCCCCATCTAAAGTCACAAAAATTGGCTTTCAAACGATAACCGTTGCAGCCCCAAAAACTATTGATTCGCATTAAAAATTTAAAACATGTTTACTTGCATGCAGTGACCGTGAGCATTGTATGTTACAGTTACGGGCAGTCCCCGTTTAATACGGGCAATTCCTAGTTAGGAGGAGTGCTGGTCCCAATGTGCTCTGATTCGGGGAGTTTTACTGTATTGCCCAGGGCACTTTATACTGCAGGTGCACTGTCACTTTTTGAGTCACACCATGCACCTATGACCATGCACACTCATTCGGCATGCAGAGTAACTGAGAAGCAGATGATCATATTCTTTAGAGCCTAGTTTCGTGTAGTAAGTCGTTGGCGGAGTTACGCTACAGGTACTTCAGCGGTTAGCCTTGCCCTTAGGCTTAGGTCTTGATAGTCGATTGCGTGTTGCATATTTTTCGTCAATTAAAAGTAAAAAGTAAATAATTATCGTGTCCGTTCCTAGCGGCAGATGCAGCGCCTAACGGGGGGGGGAGTGGATAAGTCTCACAACCACTGGCACCAGTGCCGAGAAAGACCCCATTAGCCGCATCCATGTACCCCTTGTGTCTGGCCACAAGTTCCCAGTTGACTGTGGGTAGCAGCACGGCTGGAAAAACCGCTCCCAGACAGGACTTGAGCCAGGTACCTCTCAGTATCTCAATCATGGTCATTGACCAACCACTGTGCCTGCTTGCGTTTCGTCCGTTGCATTCTACAATACACTGTACCAAGTGTCCATAGGGGTTATGCACTCTTGAATCACTTGATTGTAGATCTACATGACTGTACTACATACATTGTCCGGACGTCCTCTCCTTTCTGCAAGTACTCCGCTAGTCCGTCCAGGCCTTCTTCACGGATGACAGTGCTGTCGACGTCAAAGCACACTGCATCCGCACTGCGCCACGCTTGCCAGTCGTTGACCTCAGACATGTCGCGTTCATTGTTTATTTTTCCACCGGAACTCATGACGAAAGTTCTGGTGGCACTTGGCGGCGACTGAGGCAAGCACAAGGCTCTTGCCAATCCAAACAGATATTCCACTGCCCTGTTCCGTTTGTTCAAAATACTCCACTGGATCATGGAGTGGAAAAGTGCAAAGCTGCGTACAAGTACCGGTAGTGAGTCGAGAAATGGCAAGGGCAGGCCAATCCACGGTGGTCGAAGTCGACGATTGTCGATATGTGGCGCTGTGTCCCGTGGTCGCTATCTTATCTAGCTGCCTGATCAACTGCTACAGTAGTAACCCCATGCCCCAGAGTAGGAGTCGTAGATCTACTCGTAGGGCTACCCGGCTAGGTCCTGTCTAGCACCTGCTCGCTTGACTTATGAAGTAAGTAAATACTAAGTTATGTGCACTACCACGGACTCAAAATCAGCTCCGTCGATCGATACCTGGTATACAGTCATACACTATCTAGCGACTCAAGTGAACTCGAGCTAAATCGAGTCTGTTGACGCTTGACATACTACTAGTACCAAGAGTCCATAACCCTGGGTTATGGACTCTTGGTACTAGTAGTACGGTAACAATAATTATCATGTAGTAGGGGCTTCGAACTGTTTTTTTGGCAACGTTAGTTGCCAAAAAAACAGTTCGAAGCCCCTACTACATGCCGCCAGTGTAGATGCTCGGACTCAAGTTTGTAGAGCGAAGAAGTAGACAGGCAGCTGCAGCAGCTAGCCTAGCCTAGCCTAGCCTATGGCTATCGCTGTGTATAATAGCAAGAAGGTACAAGAGAAGTCAAGAGCTAGAGAGAAAAGGGAAAGCAAGGAGGAGTCCAGATAGAAAAGGAAAACGGTCACTTGAATTGAAAGATTAGAACATTGAAAGGATCGGAAAATTCCTATTCTAGGATATTCTAGCAATCTAGGATAAACCATGATAACATCCCGAGTAGGAGTCAGTTGCAGTTGTTCTGGTACAGTACAGTCCTGGTCATGGGGTTTCCCCAGTCCACACAAAGGCGTGTTGTTATGTCGTAATGACTCGAGTCGTACATATGCGCACATTGCGCAGCTCCCAACCATGACTCATCCGGCTCACCGTGCTACCATTCGCGATGTACATCCATGCATGCATGGTCGAGCAGAACTCGAACAGTCAAAGCTTTTATTTCGCATTTCGATGTTTCAGTGGTTTGCTTTTTGCCTTTTTCCTTACTTACTCCAGTCAATGAACCGTCTCTGGTCTTCTCAGTCTCGAGTGTGAACCATAAGCAATCTTCTACTCTAGCAATATTTCGTGTACTCAGTACACCGCGGTACCGGTACATGTAGCTTTTGAAAAATTCTAGGAAATACAGTACGTTGTAGTAAGAATTTTTATTATGTTTGTTTATGGCAGTTCCCCTGTTGTAACGCCAAAGTCTCTATTACCTAGAAGCTGAGGACGACCTGCAAACTAAGCCTTTGACGCTGTTGAGTGGAATATCCTCTTCGAAAGCATGGAAGCGTGTGGTGTGGCCTGTGAAGAGAGGGTTCGTTCCTGTGAGGTGGACGCAGTGGTGTTCTGCGTCGAGTGTGGCACGAACCAGTGCTCGTCGTGCAACTCAGCACTGCACGAGACATCCACGGCCAGTGCCCAGTACGCATCGCACACTAGACTAGACCTGGGGCGGGTGTGCGACGTGCGTCTCTGCACACCGGTCACCACTGCCGTGGTCACGTGTAGAGACTGTATTGGAGAGCCTCGCCTGTGCTCGGGCTGTGATAGCCAGCGTCACAGAGCGGATGGTGTGCGCCATAGCCACGTACGAGTACCCATAGGAGCAGCTGCACAGACCGTTGATGATGGTTTCTCCACGGTGTCCCTCGGTGAAGACTCTGGGCCTGGTGACAACGGCAGTAGTCTTGCACTGCTGCAAGTCCAGCAAGATGTGGGTGAATGTGTTATTACTAGCCGGACGTCGACCCAGCATTATGTAGTCGAGGACCAACAACAGCAGCGACAACAACAACCACAACAACCACAACAACAACAACAACCACAGCAACAACCACAACAACAACCACAACAGCAACAACAACAACAACGTAATCAACAGCCACGGCCTAAGCCACGGCCGTCCTCCACTAGGCAGAAAACGGAAGCAAGGAGCGACGCGAAGAGTGCTATACAGAGTGTAATGCTGTTCGATAGCACTGAACAACTGCAGGTAAGTCCTGGCTTTCAAACATTGTTCACGCTGTACACTGAGGCTACACCTACACCTATAGCTGTTCTCACTGCCTTGACTGTCCCGGCCTTTGCTAGTGGTAGTGAGATGGGAATAGCAACACAGCCGTAAGTGATGCAGCTTACACATACAATGAAACTTCAGTATGAACTACGGGCTATAAAGTAGTGTTTAAACTTTCTAGGGCCCTGCATTATTTTTATGGCAGTCGTTTCACCTGCTGTTGTGGACATTGACATCCGTTGAGAGGTCAAGCGCCCACGGGGCGCGGGCGCGCTGGCCTTTCAGCCGTGCCCACTACTGGTCCATTTTTACAGTGACCGTGTGAACGTGAACTAGAGTGTGTGTGTACGTGCGCTAAGGCAGTTAGTGCGCCGGCCCCGGTCACTCCAGCGGATTTCAATGTCCAGAACAGTAGGCTGTACAGTACAATACCTGGGGTATAAAGTACAGATGTGTCACCTTCTCAGGTACCTTATTCGGAATTTTAGTATTTTGGCTCTCCATTGTCCCAGGAATGCCTCAATCTCGCCACCAACAAGCAACTCTGGTTAACGATCATTGACAGATGCATGACCCCCGTATGATTTGTTTATGCGGGCAATATGCAACCTGTTAGGAAATTTGAGGCCACATGCCACGTACTGCTCTTTTCTCTCCGAAACTCAACACTTGCAAGCCAGATATGAAAGGAAGAAAAAATCATCAGTCACATTTTTAAAAGTAGAACGGAAAAGGACATATGGAAACGAGTTAAGAGTAACTCTCCACCACTGTAACTAGATACTACATACAGTATATAGTAGAGAGGTTCTGCAAAACGAAAATGTGTACGAACTTTCGCTCTACGTCACGAAGTGAGAAACTTCGCACGAACTTTCGCAACTTTGGACGCGAAACTTGCAGGGAACGCGAAATGAACTTTCGTAGGAAGTTTCGTGAGATTGGGTCATGTCGTACGTGCACTTGGCGCGTGCAAACCACGAAAATGTGCAGAACACAAATTTCGTGCGAAAATTCGTACACATTTTCGCAAGGCCTGTCGCGAAACTTCGTTCGAATTTTCGTTGTGCAGAACCTCTCTAGTATCTAGTTACAGTGGTGGAGAGTTACTCTTAACTCGTTTCCATATGTCCTTTTCCTTTCTACTTTTAAAAATGTGACTGATGATTTTTTCTTCCTTTCATATCTGGCTTGCAAGTGTTGAGTTTCGGAGAGAAAAGAGCAGTGCGTGGCATGTGGCCTCAAATTTCCTAACACTTTGAAAATGAAAATTCTCCGTGAAGTCCAAATTTGAAATTGCAATATGCAACCTGTTCATATTATTATTATTGTCCCGAAGAAGTCGGATTTTTCTCAAACTTCGGTGTGGGACATATGGCACTCTACCGGTATCACGACTGGAAAAACATCTAGTATGAAATTCAATGTTGCAGAGAAACAAGAAAGAAATTGGTTTTTCCCCATCTACTCCCATACAAAGTCTATCTCTCTGACATCATAAATCCGGCCTAGTCGGGGCAAGTTAATGACGCCATCATGATGTCACCAAATTTAGTGAAAACTTCAAGCTGGTATAACTCAGGAACGGCTGCTCCAATCAATCTGGGACCTTCATCATTGGAATCAGTGCATGTTTCGCTACAAGTTGTGAAGTTTTCATTTTAGGGTGAACTTCCCCTTTAATGCACTGTAGTTGACTTCTCAGAACTGTATTGTAAGTTGTTGTCACTGTGCGCATTCTGCCCTTTCACATCTGTGTTCAAACTGGCTAGATAACAAGTGCGGAAGACCTGGCACGACGTTTGGGTTGTGAGGCCACCACATCAGTCAAGGTCGTCTCGATCGTGGGCAATACCGGTGATGGGAAGTCGTTCACACTGAACAGGCTCTTCTTCGGCGGACGCCAGGTGTTTGGTGAGTCGGCCAGCACCGATTCCTGCACCATGGGCGTGTGGGCGGCGTATGATAAAGCCACCAGCACGGTTGTGCTGGACACGGAGGGCATGATGGGCGTCTCGCAGAACGTCAACAAGCGGGTGCGCATGCTGCTCAAGGCAAGTGCTTGCAGTGGTGTAAGACTACAGTGCTTTTTGATGAAATCCAATGGACTGAGTTAGCTGTGCCTCCCGAAAGCCTATTAACACTGGGCTGTGCACTGGTACAGGATGCTGATTTGATCATGAGATTGGATTTTACAAAGCAGTACCACGTGTACAAAATAACAGTACATGTGCTGTAGATGCTGCGATCAGTCAGTTTAGAGCGATGTTGGTGGATATCCACTACGAAATTTTAATATTATGTTGTTTTGTACACGTGGTACTACTGGTATATGCACAGTCCTATACAGGATACAGTATACATGTTGCACAGTTGGTACTGGAGTGACAAGGTTACCCAATGCGCCGCTGAACTTACTTTACTTGTCAATAGCGTTGCATGTCGTCCGTCAAGTGTCACCCTCTTTTTCTCGTGGCCTTGTGCTTACATGTCAATGCCGCCTTGTGTATGCGCAAGGTGTGAGAACTTGCACCTGGGATGAGTTGTTGCTTCGTATTTGGTTTTCGTATTCGCTGTGTCAAATTCTTCGTTCTCATTCCTTTCCGAACTTCATCGTTGTGGAATGCAGGTTCTGGCTATTTCAGACGTGATCATATACAAGACATGTGCTGGGCGCCTGCACCATGATATGTTCACATTCCTGTCAGATTCCTCGAAGGCTTTCCAGAACCATTTTGCCAAGGAGCTGAAGAACGCGGTGCGACGGAGCAAAGCGAGCTTCTCTGCGAACACTCTGGCGCCGTCGGCGATTGTGTTTCACGAGACGCAGCGAACGAATCTTCTGGGAGAGGCGACCGGCGATGCCGAGCAGGTGTGTTTGATGATTGCATTCTGCTTGGAGCTGAGTGGGCCTGGGAGACATGTGCATGTCAGTTGCATTCTGTAGGGAGAGTGGGCCATGGAAGACATGTGCATGTCAGTTGAGTCCCCCGTGATGGAGCACGTTCTTGACCTGGTGTATGAAGATAATTACCTAGGGAAAATGTGTAATTAGGGTAGATGTCTGTGTTTTGTGCCAACAACTCTGGATGCGGCTTATACTCCGGAAAATATGGTATGTACTTATCGCAATGCGTTGCTGTGTTGTTCTGCTGTGCAACTCTGGTCCTGGCTGCCATTAGGTTCATCGGAAGACTGGCAATGAAATGCTGATGGCTCGTTTTGCCGAGCTGCGCTTGCCACAGCCTGAGTTCAGCAGTCTACATTACTGTGGCACTCGCGTTCTGAACGGGCATACCGACTTCAGTGCTCTGAAGCAGCTGGTCGACAATCGGTTATTGGACTCCAGTGTGCGGACGGCCAGGCCAGTACACTGTATGATGGCTGCTCTCAAGGTACTTGCTATTAAATTATTTTAATAAGCACATGTACCATTAAGATGGTACATGTGCTGAAGCATTGCTGCATGTGCTGGTGTATCTTCTGCCATGGCCTCAGTATTTGGGGGGGGGGGGGGGGGAGCTCTGACAGACTTCTGTAGGTTCTTCTATGGTACTGCAGCCTATCAAATTGATGTTATCGATGCTGATGATGATCATCCCTTTGACGGTCTGCTGCTTTTTCTTGTTTGTCTGTGCGAATCTTGTTTGTACAAGTTGACTGATGTTTCTCCCTTTCTTCCTTCCCCTCCTCCCCGTCCATCATGCAGCACTTAAACAAGAAGTTTGACGGTCAGCTGCCGGAGAGTTTGGACAAGATGTTCCCGGACGAGTACTTCACGTGTCAGGCAGTGTGTGAAGCATGCAAGTAAGATATTTACTCATTCCCTTGACACAGGTGCTTGCTGGTAACGCTTCCTATCCCACTAACGCTATATGTAGGACTACTGTATCTTGGCCCTTGTTGCGGCCAAAGAACTATGACATACAGCTAGAATGTAGTCATGAAGCAAACAGTAACTGTACCAGTATGCATACTGAAGTTGACCTAGGCAGGGTTTCCAACTTCTCACTGCACGTTGCTTGTCGTGCACCCCTCATGTGCGGTCTGCGGTACTCTTTGCCCCGGCGTTTCTCCAGCTGTCGGTGTGACCGTACGATGAACCATGACAAAGATTGTGGATCAGGCACCAGTAGCGCAGGCGCGACCGTCCCGACCAGGCACAACTGTGAAAAGCGCTGTGTGTACCAGGCGGAACTTGATAACAAGGTCTACCTGTGCAGGGTAAGCCGCCACATCACCAATGAACTCTGTTCTGTCTTCTTGGTACACGCAGTTCTTACAATAAGCCTTTTGCGCGTTGTACAGATGCACGAAATCCCGTAGAATCCCGTAGAACCTAATGGGTGTTGAACGTGCAGGACCCTATTGTGTTTTCTGCTATTTCCACTAAGAAATGGGCCCTGAAGGCATTTCAAACGAAAAACTTTTCTGGCAAAGATCTAGCTAGTCATTAGTTCTAACCGAAGTGAAGAAGCTGGAAAAGGGATTGTTTGCCATTGATTATGAGGCTAAAATTGGTCGAATGCGCATGCATAGCACACAATGAACACCCAATCGGGTCTGCACACACCTACGCCCTAGTACTGAACTTCGTACATCTGTACAAGGTCTATATTAGTACTGTAATCTCTTCATCTTTGTGTCTCCCTCCCGTGTCCAATCAGCGCAACAGGACCTTTGTATTGTACCTGAGAGTGTGTTTACTTACGCACACATACATGGTTCATGCTGGCTGCGTGTCTGAACGAAAGTTAATTTTTGGTGCAGTTGTCAGTAGCAGTGACCTGCTAACATAAAAGGCTGCTGGCTTCCGTTATTTTAGGAAATTCTTAGCTAACATCTCATGTTACCAATATTTATTTGCTTTGAGATAATTTCCTCATTTTAAAATTTTCGGGCTTGAAAAGGGGGTGTCTCGATTTAGTTTTTAAATTTAAATTTAATACAATTTCTAGTAAAGAAAAGGACCAAGGAACTACAAGATACGCTATAGTGTCCACTAACACCACCAGTTACTTTACAATCACTTCATGTGATACCATTGCACAAAACTGACCGACAGTACCGACATTCTACAACCAACTGGCTATCAGCTCTAGCACGTCTTGGGTGTGCACTCCGACAACCTTCCAACTGGGTAGGTTCTAAGCTACATGTATATGATAGCATTGTAGTTCCTTGGTCCTTTTCTTTACTATAAATTAATCATGGGCTCTCCATCCGAGTCTATCCTAATACAATTTCGTATAGACTTTACCCCCCCCCCTGGTGTGTTTGGAACCTTTCTCAATGGAGGACTGTGCATGTCTTGGTTTGTATTTTTGTTGTGCTCTGACAGGGATGTCTCACCAACGGCAGAGAGCAGATCGTTGTTCCCAAAATGGCTCAGGCTCAGTCCTCACTGTGGGGAGGGTTGCTGTCGAATGCTGTTTATGGGTAAGGAGTGTGTCTTGAGATAGGGATCATGTGAAACATCTTTTTCTCTGGTGTCCCCACCTCTCCCATACTCTGGTTTGTACTTTGTAAATTGTTCACTATCGTGTAACTGTTCTGCAGTCAGCGCACAACCGTCTTCAGTCCTTGGCTGCACCACTTCAAAAAAATCTCTTTTAAATTGTGTTGTCACCCATAAGGGCAACATCAGGAATACCCTTATGGGTGAACATTTGGAAGAGATCTATTGAAGCGGTGTGGCCAAGGACTACAGAAGTTTGCACGCTGAATGCAGAACTACAATGGAGAACGATTTCTATCTTAACGACAGATTTCTCCTCGTTAACTCGTTAGAGTTAGCACGTCGTTATAATTATAACGACGTGCTAACTCTAACAGTAACTGGGTTGAAATATAGCCCAGTTTGTTATGTCCTGGGCTGGTGACGTGTAGGAATTAACACATTGTGGCCTTTCTGTAATTTCCTAATACATTTAAAGTACCAAGATGTCACGGTTGGTATCTTTCCTGTTCTGTGACTGTCGTTGTCGTCTGCAGCTACGTCATTGAGTGCCCCCAGTGTGGAGTGATCTTCCGAGAGCGTGAGCGCTGGTACGGAAACAAAGATCCCAGCGAATGTGCGGTGCGGGATGAGATTCGGCATGTGTGGCCCGGGGTGAGTTTGGTCATAGGCTGTGACAGCACTGATGTCAGTAACACGATAGTTGATAAAAAATACCTCCGGTACATACAGTCAACTTCGCTAATAACGACTGCGGATATAACGACAATTCGCGAATAACGACCGAATTTCCATGCCCAGAGCAAAGTCCCATCTAACTGTATACATTTAACTTCGGATATAACGACTATCTGAATAACGACAATTCGCGTATAGCGACATGCTTTTAGTGCCCCAAGGTCATAATCACTGCTTGAATAACGACTTTTTGGGCTTTTGACAGCTATTTCAAGTACCTGTCAGTCAAGTACATGTACAGAAGTACCAGAACATATGGTGATGGATATTATTATAAAGGCACACATGCAAGAGAATGCAGTCAAGAGGGGGGGGGGGGGGCTTTTTCTTCCTTTTTTATGTTGGCTTCAAAATTGTTGGATTTACCAGCACACCTATATGTATACAATGTACATGTATGATTGTACAGTAATCATCATACATGTACATATCTCTGGCCCTGTAGATGGCTCAAAAAGGCATATTTTTCCGATTTCCCTTGCATATTGAATTTTTAGTTCCTTTCAACTGCAATATGAAAATAAAGTACACATTGACATAGAGCAAGAAAAGAGCTTGATTTTGATGTGCATGTCATACTATGCAAAATATGGGTTCACATACATTCAAATGGGACTTCGGTTATAAGGACACTTCGCGAATAAGGACACTTTTCTGATGCCCCGCCGAATGTCGTTATTGGCGAAGTTGACTGTACATGTACTTGTACTCAATCTGCGCACAGCATGCTGTTTCGTTCTTTGTGAACTCATCAGCGCAGCACAGAGAAAATGAGGCCGAACCTGATAGCAATGAAAAATAAATTTTCCAAAGCCAGATTTAAACTAGGCCCGAACGTACCTTGGCAGAGTGCTCAAACTGACAAGCCAGTGAGCTCTGCGTAATGCAAACATGCACTTGTACATGAATGATCCGTTGAGGTTGTTTCGGCGGCGAAGTGCTTGACATGCTCACAGTGATGCGATGATGACTGATTCACTTCCAGTTAATTTGTAGCACTGGCCCACAAGTTGTATTCATCAGGACTACCCAATGATTAGACACAATGCCTACTAGATAGAACCACTACTGGTCCTGCGGGTTGGCATTGAGCAATCTATGTCATCTTCAACACACACACGCACACACACACACACACACACACACACACGCGCGCACGCACGCACGCACACAGCTTGCATGACAAGCCTTGTGTCTTTACTATTGTATTGTATTGTATGGTTTAGGAGAAAATTGTTGGCACGCGCACCCAGAATGCCGGCCGGCGCTTGCTGGAAGGCGTCTCCACTGCCAGCAGTGTAGTTTCATCGATCGGCGCCACACCGGCTCGTTTCCTGGCCGACTGGGTTGCCGATTCCATTGCTCCCGATTACTGGGTACCCAACGCTCAAATCACGGTACGTGCCTCTGGATAACCGCTGTCATATTGATTCTTTTTGCAGATTCTTGGGCCATATGAAATATTCCGGAAATAGGCGAAATCCGGTGGATGTTGTGAGGCAGTTGATGATTGATGTGCCAACCTGCCGATTGTTCTAACAAGAAATAATCATAGTGAAACGTGTCTAAGCCGACTGCTCAAGTACCCTCAAACCCAAGACGTGGTTATGGTGTGCATGTGTTGTGCATGTGTTGACCATGCATTGTGCCTTCAGAACTGTAAGAAATGCAAGAAAGACCTGACCACGGACGAAACACGTCACCACTGCCGCGCATGCGGCGAGGGCTTCTGCAAGGACTGCTCCTCGCACTCCATGCCTGTGGAGTGGCGTGGTTGGCCAGCAAATGCGCCTGTGCGGGTCTGCGACACTTGCTTTGAGAACGGACCGGAGGTAAGTCACCGTTAGAATAATTTTGTTTCACCTGAAATTACATAATGTAGTTTCTCTGGGGCTTTTTTGCCAAACCAAACTGGTGTGCTTATGTGAACATGGTTTGCGTGTAATTTGTACCAAGAGTACTTCAAGCAGAGTACAGCCATGTAATCCCCTGAGAAAGAGCTCACAGCGAAGTTATTTGCTTTTAAAAATCATGCGAGTAGCGAATCGCCTGTGCTGCATCATGTGTAATCTCTCGCACTTGTTCACTTGGCCATTCACCGCATTTAGCATAGGTGATTTTTGCATATTGCTGCTTGTCGTGCCAAAGACGAGAACTGCACGCAGACATCCTGTTGAAACCTTATCGATATAGCAAAATGCTGGCAAACCTACGGTGTGCCAGGGGTATTGTGTTGTATTTTGTATGCACTGGGTACAGTCCTGTTAAGCTGGAAACTTCCATAGGCACTAGTTCTTTTCAAAAAACGCCGAAACTTAATGCCGCTAAATTTGCCTGCTTTCCAGCATTTTTTTTACTAAATCCACTATGCTCCCGAATAAATGCGGAAAGTGGTGGCGGGGCCCTCTCATCCAGTTATTGATGATGAGTGATGATTTAAATGCATGCAATGCCCTTCGTTGTGCTGCAGCCTGCCACACCAACATCGGAGAATGGAGCCGAGACAGCTGACGTGCCCTCTACCACGCCACGGCGCATGGGTGAAGTTGTAGCGATAGCGGCTAGTGCCGTGGCCGGCGCCATGGAGTACCCAAAGGCCATGCTGAAGGACGCAGCTCGGCCAGCTTACTGGGTTGCCGACAAGGACATCACCCAATGCTCAGTGTGCTCACAGGACTTCAACGAGAAGCTGCTCCTGCACCACTGCCGAGCGTGTGGCAATGGCGTTTGCGATGGCTGCTCGCAGAAACGCCGTACGGTCCCCGACCGTGGCTGGGACATGGACGTGCGAGTGTGCGACAAGTGCTTTGGCAACAATGAGGATGAGTAACCCCCTGCAGAACGTTATGTTCTTGTGAGCGCGTACGCACACTTGCCGTGCACGTGCTTGTCTTGATCAGTCCTTTGTTTTTATGGCGAAGCACGCCCTTACGATAACTGGTGCGGTGAAAGTCACTGACCCTGACAAGGCAGTGTCGGTAAATCTGGTCTTTTTTGCAAGTATTTTCAGGCATGTGTCCTTCAACTCGCCTTTGTCACACATGCTTTGATTTTAACTTTTGATCTGTGGCGCCACTTTCATGAGCCTAGTTCTTTTTATCTACATAGTAGTTTTGTCTTGTGTTCGTCGTTGCTGGTGGCACTGGTGCCGTGTAGCTCCGCTTTTACCCTTAGCTTTTGAAAGCGCATCACGTCATTCTTGCATGGCGTTATGACCTGCGTTTATTTGCCGGTTCTGCAGAGCATTGGCCGATCATCCGCGTCCCATAGTCAAGTATTAGTCTTTCTCATTTTAGCCCTCTCTGTTGACAGTTTTTAATGTTCTCGGTGGAATAGACCCATGGTCACACGGGAAATTCTCCTGGCTGTTCTAGCTGCGTGTACGCGCGCATTTTCATGTTTTACTAGCTAGAAGCAAAGCCCTGGAAACCTGCATGCCATTTTCGTTTCAATTTTCATTAAAAGCGCTTATTTTGCATGAGCTGGATCTCATTGATTTTTCATAGAAGACATAGTTGGAAGTATACGACATATTTCGCTATGATGTTGCGTTCTTGCTTCCCCTCCGTTCATCAAAATAATATTATAGGTATGAGTTTTAGCGCTGCTGAAGCCTGCTGCATCTTTCTGTATTCCCATCGTCAGATTTCAATTAATTCTTTTTTTAGTAGTCCTAGGCTATTTAATTCACCTACTTGACAGTGGCAACATTGTTTCTTGTTTCTAGTCAAGATGGAGTCATTGAGTGGATGTAGTCGTTCAATACTGTGAAGCACTGATCATGATCAGATTGGGTTCGTAATCTCGTGCAACAGAGAGTCTTATAAGTTACCCATTTTGAAGGTGCTTTTTCTCCACGTCCTTGTATGCGAGCATCATGACATTGATTGTGCGAAGTGAGTAACGTTATAGGAAGTATTGTGTACATGGTCCACGAACCGTACGCTGCACCCAACGTTGACTTCGAAACCTGGTGTGGTTTCGTGAGGTTTATTCCAGAGGTAGTCATGTACTCAAGCTTCTTCTTTTTTCAGCTTTCAGTCCGGCATGATGTTTGTCACTGGTGATCAGTGGATCATACAGCCCCTGTTGATGATGATCCAAGATCGAGAGTTTAAAACAGTCCGCCCGAGACCTATTTCATTTACACCACAGTAACAGTATGACTGACTGACCGACTCTCACGATCACGTGAATGGTGAAATGTTTTATTTTATTTTTTAATTATAACGGGAAATAATATAGGGCTATCTCTATAGCTATCGCTCACAGATAGACTTCTCAAGTACTTAGAGGTTCTCCCAGAAAAGGATGGAAAACAAAACAGTGAATGCTAACAGTACCCTCTGATAGATTCTTGGAACGAAATGTTAAGCAAAGAATTCGAGTAAAAAATTGTTAAAAGTTGGTGGACAAGCTAGCCATTGGTTAGCCACTCTCATTGTAAAATCAAGTCCTTTTTCTTCTTTATCCACTGACGATGTTGTTCAGAACGACGAAACGTCTGGAAACGTATCGTGCAAATTTCTAGAAGCAGTGGACACAGTCTTTGGGTTATACTTGGCCAGCATGGCTGTGGCACATTACCGCTTTTTCCTCTTCAGCAGCATCTCCAGGTTCTGTTTCGCGGCCGTCTGCCCTGGAAGCAGTTCTTCTGCAGTTCGGTAAGCTTGTTCTGCCTTCTCCCACTGTTTGCCCCTATGATGCAGCACGCCCAGGTTGGACCATACGTTAGCCTGCTGCAATACATTGGACGTTACGTGAATGGCCTTGCGGAAAGCCCGCTCCGAGTCGCCGTACATCTCCAATTTGCCATAGACGTTTCCCAGAGTAGAATGCAAATCGTGGCTGTCAGGAAAAACGAGAATGGCTTGCTTCAGCACACCGACGGCCTCCTGAAAGCGGCTGGTTTCCTCGTACACGAGTGCCAGGTTATGCCACGCCCCATGGTGCTTAGCTTTCAGCTCAATGGCCTTTTTCCAGGCATGCGCAGCTTTGTCATACTGCTTGAGCTTCAGAAAGAGATTGCCCATGTTGTACCATGCATCAGGGTAGTTGCGGCGATGACGAATCGCTGCCTTGTAGCACATTTCAGCATCCTCGGCCATGTTGAGGTCTGCCTTCACAATGGCCAGGTTCATCCAGGCAGCGGCAAACTTTGGATTGGCCCGTACAGCGCGCTGCAGCACAGCCTGCGCCTCGTGCTTCTCACCTTGCTCCTTCAGCAGGTTACCAAGATTGTTGAGCGCCTCGTCATAGTCCGGATGAAGTCGAACCGCCTCGCGATACTCGGCCAGTGCCTTGACGACATGGCCAGCATCAGCGCTGACTTTACCGATGTTGTAATGCACCTTGGCGTTGAGTGGACAGACGGACGCACCGGCCGAGAACAATGTCTCCTCGCGCCGCCACTCAAAGCTACGTTGCTGAGAGCGAAGAGTGAACAGGATCACAGTCAGGCTGGCAGCGCACTGAAGAGCAAGGCGTAGAGCTCTATAGCGTCGACACACCGCGCCAGCAAGCAGCCGCTTCAAGCCCAAAGCAACCAAGACGCAGAATCCGGCGCTTGGCAGGTACAGAACACGCTCGGCGAGCACAAAGCCGACGCGGAAGAACAGGTTGCTCGCAGGCAAGAACGGTACGACGATCAGCGCCAGTGATAGCACTACAGCCTGACGCTGCCGAGCACCCTCACCAACGGCACTCGCCTCGTCACCTCCATCCTGATCATCACTTCCGCCGCCTGAGCCGTGCACTGTGTCTACGTTGGATTTCTGCAGCGCACTGCAGTACACCAGCGCCAGCAGGGCAAGCCATAAGAAAAGCACAGCAATACACCGGGCGTCGCTGACGGTGTCCACCAGTGGAATGCACCCCATCGCCCAGTCAAAGCACAGCCAAACAGGACACAGAAGCAGCCAGGCGTTCAGCGCGTATATGTAGTTGTAGGTCAAGGCGCGCGTTGCCGTGGAGTTGGAGAACGACGCCGGATTGTCCATCAGTTGGAACGCTGGGGGTGCACCCGCCATGATACGCCAACGTGCCCACAAGCAAAGTACGGCTGCGCACCCAACGGCGGCTTGACGGTGAAAAAAGCCAGCCCGAGAAAGCCGACTCCAAAGACGACTCGCCTTGGCACGGTTGCAACTCATCAACACGTGGACAATTTGCCAGACTTGACACCTGGCGGAGCGCAATAGATCGATGATAGAAAAGACGCCCAGCGCGGTTACGCCCTGCTCTTTGCATAGCATACTAATGGCAGCCAGCGAGAGAGCCACCACGAGAAATATAAGCTCCTGCTGTGAGCGCTTGCGGCCTTGTCCCATATGGTCACCAGGACCAGTCGTATTCCTGCCACTACTACTAGTACTAGAGGACAGCCATGATGTGCCATGGCTAGGCTGGGTAGGCAGTGCACCGCCATTGTCACCACGGCAACGCATACTTTCTGCACCGCTGACACCGCTTGTCTTTATAGTACATGTAGGTGCAGTCGTCGGCGGCAAGGGCTGTATTGGACGGCATGCTTTCTCGAAACACAACAGCGCCGTGAAGAAGAATGCAGCCGACAGCAGATCGGCACGACCCACCACACCGGCCACACTTTCCGAGTGAACCGGGTGCGAGGCGAACAGTAGCGCACTCCACAGACTCACCACCTCGGTGTGGCCAGTGCTGCGACTCCGGCCGCTGCCGCCATGGTGCTTCTCAGGGTGACTGTTGCAGTGTACATGTAGTCTCAAAACCACTCGTTCAACGACACAGAGATATAGAACGCAACATACTGCATGGAGTACTATGTTGACAACGTGAAATCCTTTCGGATGTAGACCGCCTGCGAGCCAATAACTCCACCGGAAGCTCAGCACTGTTAGAGGCCTGTACGATTTGTGACTTGTTTTGGACGACATCGATTTTCCCCAGAAGTCATGCTTCCAAATGTCCCACGTGCTGCTTGCTCCAGTAATATCTGCATTGCCAATGATCGCCTCCGAGTCGTCGAACACGAAGTCACCGTCAGCACTGTGCCAATAGGAAAGAACAGCGATAGCGGCGACCAGCAATAGGGTATGGCCACTCCGCATGGTGTCTAATGCCAGATGACTGGTCTTACTCTTAGTCTACAATGACATACTAGTTACTAAGTACATGTACTAGGAGTAGGAGCACCAACAAGAACCCATCGGCCGTTCATCCGGATCCATACTTTGAAGTAATATTCTTGATTATTCTTGATTACACTATGCATTTGTACCGGTACTTGACTATTAGCGATTTCAATCACGCGAGAAGTAAATTTCACACTTGCCACGTGATCGTTGCCACGGTTTGACCCAATCAGAGCGGTCACAGGCTGGGCATGAACCTCTGATCATGCCCTGCCAGCCACGTCTACAACCATGCACCGCGCTATACACCCCATCACGTGATCATTCATGCCCTCCTACCATGTGTGAATATACTCATTCACACATGGTAGGGCATGAATGAATGAATTCACACATGGGTATATTCACACATGGTATATTCACACATGGGTATATTCAGCCCTTGACCAATCAGCACGTCCCGAGAGCGTGTGGAGGTGAAACTGAGCACGACGGGATGAATGTATAAAAGGAAGGTACTCCTAGGGGTGGTGGTCGGGGACGTGGAGGACTGAGCTTGTGAGCTTCAGGAGGGATGACCTGAATCAACAAAAGATGAAACTTCACCTTGGTCGACATGCAGCTTGTGAGCTTCAGGAGGGATGACCTGAATCAACAAAAGATGAAACTTCACCTTGGTCGACATGCAGCTTGTGAGCTTCAGGAGGGATGACCTGAATCAACAAAAGATGAAACTTCACCTTGGTCGACATGCAGCTTGTGAGCTTCAGGAGGGATGACCTGAATCAACAAAAGATGAAACTTCACCTTGGTCGACATGAAACTTCAGAACTGAGAGCCGAGAGCGCACGGAGCTGGAACTTCAGGACCTGAAACTTTGTGAGCTGAAACTTCAGAACGAAACTTCAGAACGAAATTTCAGCCGTACCGTGCGCGCGGTCGAGGACTTGCCCGAGAGCGCACGGAGCCTACTTCAGAACGAAACTTCAGCCGTGCGCTCGACGGCTTGCCCGAGAGCGCACGGACGTGGAACTTCAGCTTGTGAGTTTCTGCCATTGTTGTGCAACGAATGCCATAAAGGACTTGAGAACTTGGGCAGGCAGGCACTCGGTGTTTCTAGTTGATGTATTTCAAGTTCGATTTATGTAGATTAGTGCAGCACAGTGGCTTTGTTTGCACTGCTAGCATGCTGCGGGTGCGCTTGCACGTGCACGTTCTGCTGAGGAGATCGTTGTGGCTTTCGCTTGTGCTGTCCTGCGTGGGTGGCAGTGTGAAATACAATCAGACATGGATGTCAGGGCAGGTATCGTTGATTCCGGCCCTCGAGCGGCCCGCGGCCTTCGGCCTTGGGCCGCTCTCGGGCCTGAATCAACGATACTGCCCTGACATGCATGTCTGATTCTATACTTGAGGCATCAGCTTCATCCAGGGAGTCGTCAAATACCTTGACGACTCGTAGATTTCTACTCCCTAGCTAGGGCCCTGGCATGGCTTCATCCGTAGATACCGGTAGATCTACTAGTGAGTACTACAAATGTGGTACGGGTACGGGTGTATAGACCACCCATTCCGGCCCAGACCACCGCACGCGCAAGTACAATTAACAAGTGCAAGCCGAACTTTACGTACAACGTTTCGGCAGACTAAGTAATTAATTATTTGCCATCATGTTGTTGTTGTTGTTGTTTGGCTTTATTTAAAGTGGAGTTCCAAAACAGGCCTAAACCTAATGACAATGGTCCCACTGATAATAAGAGAAAATCATCAGGTACATGTACATAACTCTCATAAGTACAATCATGTACCGTCATAAAATATAAAACACAAGATTTTCTCATCTTTTTCTATTTCTTGTTTTTCATTAGCTTTAGCATGTTCATTCACATTCTTCATCATTTGTGAGAACTAGACCTGGTCTAGTGAGAAGGCATTTTACTGCCTGTAATTCTGGTGAAGTAAAATAAAGTAACAACAACAACAACAACAACAACAACAACATGTATCATGGCCGAAATCCTATTTTTGTTGTGGCTTGCTTTTCGGAGAATTATGTGTTGTAGAATCCGCGATATGCGTGTTAAAACAAAATGGCGTCACGATTTATTGAGTGGTACAGTAGATATTGGTTATAACGTGCCCTTCTGATTTTTCACATTTTATCACTATCCGGTACAGTAGTCCCTCTCTAATCCGGCACCTTTTGCAACGGCATTTTCTGCTGGATAAACAAGGGTGCTGGATTATCAAATCCTGCCCCCCAACCCGATCCACCTGTTAAAGCAAGAGCTACTCTTGATGTAAGTGATTATACACAATCCTACACAGTTGCGAGGGCAAGACGTTCTTATCATCTTATGTCACCGGAGGATGTAGCACCCACTAACCCAGTGTGCTGACAGCAAGAGTCCATAACCCCCATGGGGTTATGGACTCTTGCTGCACGCTGACAGTGCTCAACACCGCGGAGGCAGAACAGAACAACAACTTACTTACATGTACTTGGGCAATCAAGGCTTGTTTGCTGCTACTTCAAGTCAGTATTACTATTACTACTAGTATTACCAAGAGTACCCGTCTCTTACTCTGTATGTAAACATGGTAAAAATTCACCTAGGGTTCCCAGTAAAAAGGCAACGCCTGTTGGGATTTCCCTAGTAAAATAATAAAATCTACTACTACTACTACTACTACTACTACTACTAAACCCCCGCCCCCCCCCCCCCCCCCCGCGCGGGGTTATGTACTCTTGGTATTACCGGTAGTTTCATGCTCTCGCAATCATCAGGCAACATCGTCATGTAACCCTCCATCGACTTGCACTTGTACCCGGTAGATTCTACTACCAAGAGTACATAACCCCGGGGGGTTATGTACATGATTGTACTCTTGATAGTACCAAGAGGCAAGGGTACATCACCGGGGAGTAAGTACGAGTCGTATACAGATCGTAGAAGTACACAGGTGTGGACAATATGTCTCCGGAGTGGCGAGAGTTTCACACTAAAACACAACTGGTTTTAGATCCGGCGTTCAACCACCGCCAGCTCCCTGAGCTCGTTAGCTGGACGATGGTATGCCGACCGAGACCCACGGACACACATGACAGCGGATCGGAGCAGCGTGAAAGACAGCCTGCAGCGCACATATGCAACATGGTGTGCATAGGGCATGTTGGAATCAGCCCTGGCAAGCAAACCACAGAGGCGCTTAAAGGGGAAGTATACCCTAAAATCAAATTTTCACCAGTTGTAGTCTTCTGGGTGCTGAGTCGAATGGTCTTGGTCCGAGGAAGCTGCAACGCTCCCTTCCTACTTGAATCCCAATCGAACTCGCGCACTTCCACCGAAACTGGGTGACTGCGCCCTACTAGATGGGGATTTGTATGCAAAATGTCACTAAAAGCGCCATTTCGTTCTTATAAAAGCACGGATGACCACGATTGGCCCATATGTTGTAGTCTTTTGGACGCTGAGTCGACTGGTTTTGGTCCGAAAAGGCTGCGATGCAGCGTTCCTCCTTTATTCCCAATCGAACATGGTTGAACAAGCGGTCACGTGCTCCTGGGTGCCCAAATCACCTGGTCACCGCGCCAGCAGGCGAGAACTTTCACACCAAGGTTCAACTCGAGTTCAACTCGAGTGACAGGACTGCACCCAAAAAAGGTCAAACAGGCTAGTAAGTTGTACCCTGCAGGCACGGTGACCAGGTGACTGGTGTACGCAGGAGCACGTGACCGCCTGTTCAACCATGTTCGATTGGGAATAAAAGAGGAACGCTGCATCGCAGCCTTTTCGGACCAAAACCAGTCGACTCAGCGTCCAAAATACTACAACATATGGGCCAATCGTGGTCATCCGTGCTTTTATAAGAACGAAATGGCGCTTTTAGTGACATTTTGCATACAAATCCCCATCTAGTAGGGCGCAGTCACCCAGTTTCGGTGGAAGTGCGCGAGTTCGATTGGGATTCAAGTAGGAAGGGAGCGTCTCAGCTTCCTCGGACCAAGACCATTCGACTCAGCACCCCGAAGACTACAACTGGTGAAAATTTGATTTTAGGGTATACTTCCCCTTTAAAGGGGAAGTTAAGGCAAAAATTAAAATTTCACCAGTTGTAGTCTTCGGGGTGCTGAGTCGAATGGTCTTGGTCCGAGGAAGCTGAGACGCTCCCTTCCTACTTGAATCCCAATCGAACTCGCGCACTTCCACCGAAACTGGGTGACTGCGCCCTACGAGATGGGGATTTGTATGCAAAATGTCACTAAAAGCGCCATTTCGTTCTTATAAAAGCACGGATGACCGCGATTGGCCCATATGTTGTAGTCTTTGGGACGCTGAGTCGACTCGTTTTGGTCCGAAAAGGCTGCGATGCAGCGTTCCTCCTTTATTCCCAATCGAACATGGTTGAACAAGCGGTCACGTGGTCCTGGGTGCCCAAATCACCTGGTCACCACGCCAGCAGGTGACAACTTTCACACCAAGGTTCAACTCGGGTTCAACTCGAGTGACAGGACTGCACCCAAAAAAGGTCAAACAGGCTAGTAAGTTGTACCCTGCAGGCACGGTGACCAGGTGACTGGTGTACGCAGGAGCACGTGACCGCTTCTTCAACCATGTTCGATTGGGAATAAAGGAGGAACGCCGCATCGCAGCCTTTTCGGACCAAAACCAGTCGACTCAGCGTCCCAAAGACTACAACATATGGGCCAATCGCGGTCATCCGTGCTTTTATAAGAACGAAATGGCGCTTTTAGTGACATTTTGCATACAAATCCCCATCTAGTAGGGCGCAGTCACCCAGTTTCGGTGGAAGTGCGCGAGTTCGATTGGGATTCAAGTAGGAAGGGAGCGTCTCAGCTTCCTCGGACCAAGACCATTCGACTCAGCACCCCGAAGACTACAACTGGTGAAATTTTAATTTTTGCCTTAACTAATTACTTCCCCTTTAACCTTTCACATTCAGGGGAGGCAACACCAGAAGTTGACAACACCAGCGGGCTGAATGTGCCACGATCCACATTGAGGATTCGCTCTCCATACTGCAGCTTCTTCTGGCGCTCGTGCTGAAGCAGTAGGGCATCCAGTGGTTGGGCCGAGTAGGACGCCGCATCAGGATGGAAGACGCGTACGTCAAAGAAAGCATCCGGTGCTCGGGTCCAGAAGCCACGGGCACGGACATCAGCACGGGCATCCTCGGCGGTGTTGTTGTTGTTGTTGATTTTTATTTTGCTTCGGTGTTTGCCGATGCAGCAGTAAACACCTCTCCAGAGAGTGGGGCTAGCTGAGGCTCGATTGCCACTGCGTGGCAGACCTCCGTGAGTAGCTCCCCTACCATGTCACGGACTTCGTTATGGCGGATTGTAGGGAAGCCACCCCGGGGGCAACACATGGCATGAGCAGTGGAGAACAGAACTCCGCAGGCACACTTCGTGGGGACATCGAGGAGAGGCCAGTCATACCGCAATGCAAGGCCGTCCCTGAACTCCTGCTTCTAGAGGTGGAAACCATGTTCCTTGAGAGGACTGAAGAGCAGTGAGCCAGGAAGAGGGGCCTTTGCGGGACACTGCTCATCCATACGACCAAGAGTGAACTCTTGATACGACGGGCCAAGGCCAGGGGCAGTCCGCAGCTTCTCGGATCGTAGACCTACCGCGGATCCGCTCACTGCTAGCTAGCTGTGCACATGTGGTTGTAAGCATGCTGACATGTACATCATCGTCCAACAGTAACATTACTATAATACTAACAAGTACACAGTACACAAGTACAGTGAGTAGTACATAATCATTGACAACTACAACAAGACCATGAATATGATCAAGACAGTCAGTACGTACCACAAGTCTTTTCGATTTTGACAGCATGTTACATGGCGAGGACGCGTAGTGCTCCTGACTACAACCATAAACCGGTTGGCAGAGTCCCGGTCTTGCGCGCGTTGTAGTCAGGAGCACTAGCTACGCGTCCTCGCCTTGTAACACGAGTCGTAGACCTACTCAAAAAAAGAAGCTCACCTCAGCTCATGCGTCATGCATGCACTGCAGTACTGCTCAGTGCATGCATGCAGTGCATATATGCTGCATGCATATGCATGCAGTGCATGCAGTGACCTCACGATCACGATCACACGTGCACACGTACAGTGTAGTCTACACGTCACACGTCAAGCAAGGGAAACAGTCCTTCCCCAGACGCGCAAAAAAAAAGACCTCTCCCAATAAAATAAAACTAAATCCCGATATAACAGATTCTTGACTGATTTTTGCCGCGAAAGCGAAAAAATGTTCTCAAATTTGAGAACTGTCCTAAATTGGTTCTGAGAGATGGAAGCCGTTTTACATGGCCTACGTAGTTTTACTTTGCACCACCTCGTTTTATTTCACACCATGTATTCTTTACGGGACGCTCTTTCGGCAGATATATTTTTAGTGAAGTTTCGTAGAGGAGACGTATATCGAAAATGTTGTGAACGAAGCTGAAATTGGCATTTTTATGCACCTAATTTCAAGCCGGATTATCGCCAGAGCACGCAGCGTTTTCGGCCAGCACGAAGGCGGCAACATCTAGAGGTAAGCAATACCTATCACTTACAAGACAAATCTGACCTGTTCAGGACCTCGAAATACCTAAAATTCAGAACTTGCTGTGCTTGCTTGGCCCTATGTACATGTATGTTACATAGAGGATCACACACATTTGGCAAGTAGATCTACAATGCACACCATTATAATACCGTCTTCTAAGCTGTAGTCTTCACTGGTTTACAGTTTTGGATGTGTAGAGTAAAGACTCGTTCACACTTCGCTTTGCGTAAGGGAAACACGTCACAACGGCCGTTTGCGACGAGAAAGTTGACTTGATCTTGAGTTGAGTTACTTGTTTGGTCCATCGCGCGACCTTCGCTTGTGCGCATTGCGTTCATGAAATGAAGTATGAATTAGTCTTGAATGTGCCAGTCCATTGCTCAGTTTTACCATGTTCTTGCCTAAGTCTGTTGTGAGTTATCTTGAATCCGTAGACATTTCGCCGTATTAGTACCATCCGTTCCATAAAAATGCTGGTTCTTGTAATGGCATGCACCATAAAGATATGGTGGGCAAATGATTACGGTCATAGAACAGATGTCATTAAATGACATCTGTTCTATGACCGTAATCATTTGCCCACCATATCTTCTACATTTAGTGAGATGTTGCCTAGGGCTGCTGCACTGTATGCATGCAGTTGTAGTTCCCACCGCCTTGATGCTGGCGGCATATTCAACATGACATGTATGCATTGTATGCACGCCTATGGATTCATCAGCGGCCGTTCTAAGCGGGATATATTCAGCGATATACCCCACTCGGTTCACATGGGTCACTTCGAGAATAAGGAAACTTTAAGCCTAGTTCGTATTCGACGTAACGCTGACGGTATGGAACGTAAGGGCCTGTTCGGACGGCCGGGGTGAGCTGTAAAATCTTGTACGATTCGTAAGACACAACATGTAGTTTGACACGACATGCAGCAGCTATTGCGATTTTCAAGAAGTGACACGAAATCTTATCTTCCTAAAATTTGAATCAGTTGTGCTAGCCATTCGGCGAGTTATCATGGGAAGCGTAGTGTTGACCGTGTTCGAAATGTTTAAAAAACCTAAGTGTGCTGTTGTGCGCATCGGGAGGGGTCAGCGCACGACACATCCCCTGTTCACACTAGAATGCAGTTGTTTTGTACGCTTGCGTCCTCGTCTACGGTCTGAAAAGTTGAACTGACCAACTCTTCCCCTTGCTTCCCAATCTGTAGGGTAGAACGGTTGCGTTCCCGTTCCTGGTGTTCACATTGGACGCTGTCTGTCGGCGTCATAACTGTTCCGTAGGTTCCCGTCAATCCTTACGTCGCGTCCCGTTGCGCCCCGTCGAATGTGAGCTAAGCGGCTTTCGTGTTGGTCACACTCTGTATTTAGGAAAGTACCATGCAAATGGATTATACCATTCGTACTCTGTGTATACCGAGTCCCCCACTTGTCCCTCGTCCTAACGCACTCTCGAAAGTAATCGCGGTATGCCCCTCATACTCATGGTATAATCCATACCTAATATATATAATCAGTATCATCTGCTGTTTGTTTTCCATTGCAGGTTAACGTCTCAATCAAGCATCGTCATCAAAACTTTGCACAGAAGAGTGTCAGCGGTGTCGGTCATCCTCTGGGATCCTCTTTCTGTTATTACTGAAGCTCAATTCCCAATACATGAACTGCTTTCCACGATGCGCAACATGCAACACCTGCGATGAGCTGCAACCGCGACAGATGATTCACAATCTGTTTTGCTTCTGCGACATCTAAGTGCTGGGCGTAGTACCCTCACGTGCACCCAGCCTAGTGAACTGCACTCCATTCGTGTACAACGCGCTTGGCAAGAGTTATGCTTTTGCCAACTTCTGGGACAGTGGCCCTACAACTGCTTGCGACAGTGCGCGTCTGCGCGACAGGCATTTCCTCGCCGCAAGTGTTACATCACAGAAAGTGATACATGTACATGTAATTGTGAATTGTAAATACTTTTCATCCAATTCAACTTTTAGTATGTGCTTCTCTTTGTTGAACAGCAATGGGTAACCAACTCTTCTCCTATCCATTCATTCTCCTGCTCGTGTTTGTATGGTGGTTGTATACTGTATACCCATTGAATGATTAATGTACTGCAGTATCAGGTCTTGTCTGGTGATATATTCACGTCCAAATATGTTCAATTTTCACTTGAGCACACAAGGGTTGGAAGCTTAGAAACACTATACATCTATTCTTAAGGGTGTTCTCCATTGATATTTTGATTGATCTCACCTGTTCAAGACGTCCATGTCGACTTTGAGGCCGACTTTCGCATCGATGTCGGCTATTTTATAGCACTTAGAAAAATGATCCCTACCACCCGGGACGCATTCTATCGCGTTGTTTGCATTCTCCTGGCGGCAGGGCATTGCCAAACTGATTACCTTTCATATGAAATAATTCAAGGGATGTGGAAGAAGCCTTCACTGCTCGACCAGGCCGATAACCCTGTTTCATACATACCCCAAAACTAGACAAATTCGAATTTTCTCAAGCTTGAGAACGTTTCCCGGCAAAACAACCCTCGAAATCTGTTATATATCGGGATTGGTCGTTTGGGATCAAAGGACTGAAAGTATTTTTTGCTCTCCTCAATCGCCTCGGTAGTCTACCAGGTCTACATGCAGTCTTCAAAGTTCAAGCTCAGCAGTAACCTGGTAACGTTTATTCTTCACACCTGTAGCTCTCGCTTCTGAGATGATGTATCCTCTTCTTACTGAAGTCAGTTTAGTCTACTAAGTACTAGTTCACTCATCCAGTGTATCACCTGGTGTCTTGCACAGAGTTTTTTTCATGATGGCGAGTAATCCCAAGTCTCAACCTGCAGCCGAGGCTAGTGCCAGTAGTGGTGGTGGTCCAGACCGGGTGAGACCGTTGCGATTCCCTCATTGTGAAGAAGTCACAAAATATGAAAAAGTAACGAAAGTTGGACAAGGAACGTTTGGGTAAGTTAGCATGCTCGTTGTGAGGTCTATGAGTGAGAAAAATCACCATGTTTATGCCGTATTCTTTTAGGGAACGAAAGTATTAACGAAGCGGGCATTAGAAGGAGAACATTATTATACATGTACTTGTAAATGGTAGAGATATCATAAGTGTGAGTGTTACACATGCGTGTGAGCTAATAACAGGGGAAGTGGGACAGTGGAAAACGAACAATCAAGTGAGATGGTAAAAAAAAATACTCAACAGCGCGCCAGAGCGTGAGTTATTCTCAATACTAGACATCCTTAGCAAAAGTACGATAACGCTAACTTTTACGGTACTCACTCCCAGCTGTGACAAAAGACATTATCGGGTAATGGAAAAACGTTACAGAGCTCAAAATAACGGACCGACGTTCGTTATGGTGATTCTGCAAAAAAATGCAAAAACTTGCTTACATACAGTATGTGTGTTCGATTATCCGGTTCCCTCGCCTATCCGGATATTTTTTGTGGAAAACGGATGCAGTGTGCGGTTATGCGAGGTCTGACTGTACTACATGTATTATCATGGGAAAGGACCAAAACATGCCAAGCTGAACCAATAACAAAGTGCACTGATCAAAACTAATCTCTCACAAGAGACTCCAACACAAAAAAAACTAAAAGGCAAAACAAAATGAAATGAAAGAAGAACAACGAGAAGCGTAACGTGCTGCATGCATACTAGTACTTCATGCATAGTACATGACACATCACGCGGTGACTGCGTTCCCACGTTGGGGTAGCTGACCATGCAATCAATCATAGTAGACGGAGAACATGCACAAAGAACTACAAACAGTACATCAGACAATCATGTATAGCGAGTGCACTGATGCGCATACAAATCTAACATTCCTCGCTCTCGAACGAGTATGCTATCATGCAATATGAGTGAGACCCAACCAACAGTACAGCAAACCAAAAGAACATAGGAAAGATGATCGAGAAGCATTATAAGTTATGCGACACCATTACTGTTACATTGTCTGCTATTGTCATGAGTAATTCTATCTGTGACACTCCGTCTTACTCACTCACCAGTGGCACCTTCGACTTCCAGTGGAACTAGTCGATGGACTGGATGTTTTAACCCTGTATTGCCCGATTAAAATACAAACAAGCCCACGCAATCGTCAAACCTGTACCTAAATTGCACGTAACTTTAGTTTGCATTGGACAAATTCCACGATCTTGGGCATCCTGGAAAGGCCTTGGCGAGAGGAGCGCAATGAGCGTACACTCGACTCCACGGGATGCACTAGCCCAGCGCTGCAAGCCAGGGAAGGCCAACCAGCGCTGGGCCCACGCTCGAGATCTATCTCTATCCACCATTTCACTCCTGTTACTCGTATCAAACTCAAATTTTTTCGTAGAGACTCCCGGGAACCTGCTTTTGAAGTTGAATCGGTGTAGTCTTGTCAACAGGTGACGTAAGCAGGGAAAATCCCGGCCGTTGACCCACGCATCGCGCCCTGAGCGCAAATTTCCCGGGACCAGCGTTACGAGTGCTATAACTCAAGAACCGCTCTTTGTATCGCTTTGAAAATTGTTCGAGGCGACAGCTGAGAGTTCTTTCTTCGACCGACATATTTACAGTCCATTTCAAAACTATAGACGCGTAGGGTTTTTGAAATATTTCAAATTTGGCTGGAACTTTTTGAGAATAGTTTTCGGAATATTGCTCAGGTCCGCTCCACAATTACTCTCATATAGTTTCTAAACGATTGGATAACAGACGCCCGATTTGGAAAAATTTATGCACAAAGTGATCACAGATTTTATGTGGTATAGATGCTGGCATAACGGTTTTTGCCTAGGTACGCGTCTATAGTTTTGAAATGGACTGTAGATCTCTCCGAACGACCGAGATTTGACCAAGTTACGATAATTTCAAAATGCCTACCCCATCGAACATCGGTATTCGATCAATGTATAGGCCAGCCAATAAAGGGTTAAGACCTTGCCCTGGATGTTGACCCCCACCACACGGACAACGGCATCCTTACCAGGGTAGGTTGCCGTAATTCTAGCGAGTGGCCAATGTACTCGTGGGACATTGTCGTCCATGACCATGACAATGTCACCAACTTCGACGTTCCACTGCTGCTGAAACCACTTCACTTGCACATTGAGCTTCGGCACGATCTCCTTCACCCATCGTGCCCAGACCTCCGCGACGATGCGTTGCACGTACATCCAGCGGCGACGAGGATGGACCGTGTCTGCTGGCTGGACACCCAGCTCTGCGGCCAGTGTGGCGTCTGCGTGGCCCACGAGGAAGTACTGTGGCGTCAGGGGCCGAAGATCATTCGGATCATTCGGAGATGACGGTTAGTGGTCGACTGTTGATGAGACCCTCCGCGTGTACCAGCGCCATATGCAGCTCCTCATCTGAGAGGTCTGCCTTGTACAGCACATGCTGTAGGACCCTTTTCATTGACTTCACGACGACCTCGAACACCCCACCGAAATGAGGTGCTCTTGGCGGGTTGAAATGCCACTTGATGTTCTGGTCAGTCAACTCTCCAGCAATCCGGGAACTATCGAGGGACTGGACGGCGTCCTTCAGAGCTTTATCCGCAGCAACAAAGTGGGAGCCATTGTCCGACAGCATCTCTTGCGGCACGCCACGCCTCTTTATGACCCGGCTGAAGGCCAGGAGGAAGCCGTCGGTGTCCAAGGAGTACACTACTATCACTAGCTCGATGTGGCACGCCCTGCTCTGGAGGCACGTGAAGATGCACACCCATCGCTTCAGCTGTGCACGGCCCCGTCCTTGTCGTGTGAAGAACGGGCCGGCATAGTCCACGCCGACTCTCGAGAACGGTTGTAGCGGGGGTGATGTTCAGAAGTTGGGTAGCGGTGCCATGGGTGGGGTTGCAGTCTTCTGGTTGCGTTTACGGCAGAGGACACATTTGTTTCGATGCTCTTTCACTGCAGCCTTTCCTTTGATAATCCAGTACTCTCCAGCAAGGTTTGAGAGCAGGTGGTTGCTTCCGGCAGCATGGTGAGCGTCTGCGTCTGCTGCTGCGATGATGAGCCACGTCACTCGATGGCTTCTTGGCAGGATGGCGGGTGAACGGACACCTGTTGGCAGATGATGGGCTGTACGAAGCCGTCCGTGCACCTTCAGCACTGGGATACCAGTTGTCTTGTCCATGGCTGGCTGCAGTTTCCGCAATGGTGATGACGCCGACGGTGGTTTGCCAGCTTTCACATCAGCATACGTGCTCTCGTAGGCCTCCCTCTGTGCAGTGCTGATCCAGAGGTACTTCGCCTGCTGTAGTTCCTGGACGGTGAGCTCTGCGACATCAATTGCGCGCTTCCCAGGAATGGTCACAGATTTCACAGTAGATGTCCCCGGCGGCGGTGAGGCAGTGTGACGTCTCGCATTATTGATGAAGCGACGGCACCAAGCTGTTACCCTCACCAGTCGTTGCCAGGAAGAATAGTTGTCGGGGTGTAGGCGACAGGACTGCGATCTGCCAATGGCTGCCATGGCAACTCCATGCTTCAATTGCCCTGGAAGCTCCGCCGGAGGGATGATTTGCTTCGACGGCCACGTAGTAGGCGACTCGGACAAGAAGGCCGGTCCACTCCACCATTTTTCGTCTGTGGCGAGCTGCGTTGCGCTGATTCCACGACTGGGCATGTCAGCGGGGCTGTCCTTGGTACGTACGTGTCGCCAGTTGCCAGGGTTGGTGATGTCTTGAATCTCAGAGACGCGGTTGCCCACATCCACCTTAAACTTCCTACTTGGAGACTTGATCCAGTACAGGACGTTCATTGTCGCACGTATGTGGCAGCTGCGTACGCTTCCGCTGAGGCATCGGCGAATGTGTGGAGCGACAGCTCACCGGGTTCAGTATCAGTGAAGCAACGACTTGCTTGGATCGACGCCAGGTTGGGAACTTCGGCAAACCACTTCCGCCAATCCTCGGCTTGGTCGTGGTCCAGGGGATCGTCCCAGCGAGTGCCTCGGATACAGGATGCTTGAAACAGGACACGGCTACGGATCGTGAACGGGCATAGTTGCCCTCTCGGATCGAACAGCCGGCACATCTGACTCAAAACGCCACGCGATATGAATCGTACAGCGTCTGGCTCCGGGTGCACGAAGGTGAAGTGGTCGTCCACTGGAATCCAAGCCACACCGAGGGTCTTGTGAAGAGTGGATGGTTCCTCACGGTTGGTGATCATCACACTGCTTGTGCTGGCTTGGTCTGCCACTGGGATGGACTTAAGCACAGCCGGTGAATTGCTGAGCCACTTCTGTAGGTGGAATCTACCGCGCGTGGTGATTTCCTGGAGATCCTCTCGGGCGACTATAGCTGATGCTTCAGTAGCTGTCGACATCAACAGGTCGTCAACGTAGAAGTTCTCTTGAACGGCGTTGATCGCCTCGGGACCGGCAGTATCTGCAAAGGTCTCCGCCGTTGCTTGTAGCGCTCGGCCTGCCAAGTACGGGGACGCTCTCATGCCGAAGACAACGCGGCAGAACTCGAAGAATACGAGTGGGTGGTGATGAGACTCACTCCAGACGAACCGGTGGTACTTCCGGTCATTGTCAAGGAGCTCAACTTGGCGAAACATCTCCGAGATGTCGGCAGTGAGGGCGATAGGGTGATGGCAGAAGCACAGCAGGACCTTGACCAGGTCACTCTGCAGCTTTTGTCCAGCGTGCATGCGGTCGTTGATGCTGTCACCCATGACCTTCGCAGAACCGTCGAATACGATTCGGACCTTTGTCTTTGACTTGTCATTGCGGATGACGGGGAAGTGCGGGAGAAACCATTGGTCGGTTCCGGCATCTTCCACCTCTGTGGGCAGGACTGATCGAATGTACCCACGCTCCAGGTACTTCTTGAGCACCTCAGCGTACTGCAGACGAACCTTGGGTTTCCGCTCAAGGATGCGATGTAGGGACTTGAGCCTTTGCTCAGCGCATTGCCGTGAGTCTTGACATAACTCCGGCTGGTCTGCACCACTCCGCCACGGGATCCCGACGACGAATCTGGTGCGATTGTGGTGAAGGCTCCGCTTCGTCATGTCGTCTGCTGCACGCTCGTCAGGGGTTAGGTAGTCGGAGCTGGTGGTCTGCATGCCGACACTCTCCGATTGCCAAAACTTGCTGACAACTTCTGTGAGCAGATCATCAGAGGTTGCCACTAGCGAACGGTCGTCAAACTCGCCGGCGGTGTGGGCAGACACAGAACCAAACACTACCCAGCCAAGGAGTGTCTTTCTTGCCATGGGACCTCCCTCGTTGGCAAACCTCTCTTCCAGAGACATGTGGAGCCAGGGCGCATTGAGGCCGACCAGCAGGCCTCCGGGAGCTGTTTCGGGCACTTTGGGGAGTGGCACGTCAGTGAGGTGCGGCCAACATCCTTGTTGCTCTGTCCAGTTGATGGTAGTGATGGGGTTCATGATATTCGGCAAGACCCAAGCCGAGAACTCACTGGTTCCTGATCCATCAGAATGACACAGCTCAACCGTTGCGTACTGGTTGACAGGGCACAGCTTCTCGCCGCCGAGGACAGAAGTCTCGAGGGATCCGAACTTCACAGGCAGCGCCAGACGTTCAACGAGGTCTGCGCTGATGAAGCTGCACGACGATCCGCTGTCGAGGAACACCGTTGCCTGGGATGGCCCGTTGACGGCGGCTGCCACTGTCATGAATGCCGTGGTCTGGTCATGTGACGAAGAACTCGTGGCGCTCACGCTGCAGGCACTCTGCGCCTTCTTAACTCTGCCTTGGGCTGTGTTGGCACATGGTGCTCTTTTTGCAGACTGCACAGGTTGCTTGGCGATTGGCTTCTGGTAGTGGAGAAGCTCATGGTGCAGCTTGTTACAGAACCGGCACCTCGGTTGTCGGCAGTCTTTGCCTTTGTGGCCGGGCTTGAAACAGCAGATGCCAATGGCCAACGGCTTCACAAACTCCCACCGTTCGTGCAGGGAGAGCTGCTTGAATCGTGGGCAAGATGCCAGCTGATGCCCTCCGTGGCAGGACACGCAGCTGACGGTCGACGACTCGGTGGCAACAAGTGTGCGCTCAGTACGATTGTAGAATGTCTTTCCTGGGCCCTGTTGGCGCTTCTCGGTGCCCCACTGGGGAAGCTCGGGATTGGCAGCACGCTCTTCTACCTGCTTGAGGCACATGACACGCTTTAACAGGAAGTCTGCGAACCCATGAATGTCGCATAGCGAGTCATCGTGTCGCTCCAAAAAGCGGGTCAGGACAGGCTTTGGCACCTTCTGGGTTACACTGAGGTAGAGTTCTCTGCCTGGTGTAAGTCCAGCGGTGTTGATGAGGGTGTTCCGCAGCCTGAGCGCGAACGACTTCAGCTGATCTAGGCCCCGCTCACTGACAATGCGGGGAACGGCTAGCAGCTCTCTCTCTCATAGTGCACGATATCTCGGACTGGCCCCCCGTGCCATGCGTCAAGCTCTTGCAGTGCGGACTTGTAGGCGCCTGGGCCGTGGACGATGTCGGCAACGAGATCTTCCGCTTGGCCACCTGCCAAGGCTTCCCGCAGACGGGCAAACTTGTGGTCGTCCGACATGTACGTGTCCTCTTCCGCGAGCTGTTTGAAACGCTGCCTCCATCGGCCGAAGTCCTTGTCCTTCCCACTGAACTTTGGCAGTTCCAGTGGCTTTAGGTGGTGGCGAGACCAAGGGCTTCTGATTACTGGTGGCTCCACATAAGGAATCGCGTACGTCTGTGCTGAATGCACCTCCGGGTCGGGGTGTGTAGACTGGCCTTCAGCAGGTGGTGCACCAAGATACTCTGGTGGAGGTGGTGCTAGACGAACCTTGCTCCGCGTTCCCATTGGCTGGAATGCTGGAGCACTAGCCAACCGTGTCTGACCTGCCGCAGGCACCCTGGGCTTCGAAGCTGTAGGCTGCTTGGGCTGCTGAACAGCAGCAGGAACAGCAGCAAGACTTGACTGGACTGTGATAGGTCTAGCAGTTAAGACTGGTTGCTTTGGCTGAGTGGGCACTGCCACTGGAGCTTACCATAGAGCACTGCTCACAGGACCTGTGACAACAGGCTGAGGTCTCATACTGGAAGAAGCTGCATTTGCTATGCTTGGATGCACACCACTTACACCTACAGTGCCGGTAGGCGTCAAATGGGCCAGTCTTGGGGGAAGTCTGTTCGCACCTCCACTGGCAGGATGCATGGGTGAGCTGGCAACTGTGCCGACTCCCGTGCCTGGCTGGACCACGGTTGGAACTGCTGAACTGCCGTCATGACTCAGCTCACCAGCGCTACTCTGCTCATCATACTCATAGTCGTCCGAGTTCTGGTCCAAGGCTACGACTTCCACTGGACTCGATTGAAGCGGTCGGATCGGTCGCATTGGATTCAAGGGCTTCCTTCCCAGACTCCTGTAGCTGCGCTGCTCAATGTCCAACTCGTCCATGCACTCGCTTATGGTTGCAAACTTCCGAACAGGCGGATTGCGCTTCTCCAAGGCAGCAAGAGCCTCCACCATCAGCACCTTTCGCTTTGGGTGTTCTGCTGCAACATTGGTCACTCCCGTCACACTGTTCGCTTTGGAACCCACTATACTACTGCCACGGCTCCTGGGCTGAGACGATGCTGTGATCTCCACCAACACGGCTTCAGCCTTGCTATGCACAAAGAACACTACAAACAATACATCAGACAGTCATGTGTAGCGAGTGCAATGATGCGCATACAAATCTAACACACGTATGACTTCTACATTAAGTATATACAGTCAACTTCGCTAATAACGACTGCGGATATAACGACAATTCGCGAATAACGACAGAATTTCTATGCCCAGAGCAAAGCCCCATCCAACTGTAATACATATAATGAGACTTCGGGTATAACGACACTTTGTGAATAACGACACTTTTCTTATGCCCCGCCGAGTGTCGTTATAAGCGAAGTTGACTGTACTCAGTTATGTTCTCCTTGGGGCCGGGTTCCACTGCGGCTCCGCTGCTCGTCTTTCGCGGCTTGAAACGTCATCATTACCATAGTGACCGCGGCTCGAGCTGGTGCAGCGAGGCCGCGGCTCACCGCGAGCTTTCGCTACGATTCTTGATCAAAACTGCGAGCCGCGGTCGCGGCTTGACCTGTTTCCCGTACTTTGCATTGTTTTGTACACGAAAATTTTAAAATTCTAATTTTAATTCGTTGCGCAGGCCAGAACACTAGGATTATTTTGATTTCGCGCGCACGCGCGCGCATGCGCGCGCAGGCAGGTAAAACGTCATGAAAAATGTGGAGCACGACCGCGGTACCGCGAATGGCGAGTGTCAGTGGAACCGCGCTGCTCCGCTGCATGCAGCCAAGTGCCGCGGAGCCGCAGTGGAAGCCGGCCCTTAGCGTGTTACCATTGTTGAGACGATTCTTTCCCTGATGATGGTCTCATGAACTCGATCAGGAAATTTCTTCATTTTATTTTTATAAGTTTTGTTATTTCAACATTCTAATGTCTGCTTCGTTAATAATTTTGATCGCACTGATAAAACTCTTGTCTCCACGTCGCTTATTTGCTTTTAGGGAAGTATGGAAGGCCAAAGACAGAGTGACGAAACTGCCAGTGGCGCTGAAGAAAGTTCTGATGGATAATGAGAAGGAGGGAGTAAGTTCTCGTAAACTTCATACTACCAACAGCACTTCAAGAAAAGAAAAAGGACCAAGGAACTACAAGTTACGCTATAATGTCCACTAACACCACCACTTACTAAACAATCAGCTCATGCGATAACATTGCACGACACTGACCGACGGTACTGACGTTCTACAACTAACTGGCTAACAGCTCTAGCACACCGGCCTTCCCCTCCTTACGGTATTTCTATAACTTAGAACCTTCTAAGTTGGAAGGCTGTTGGAGTGCGCATCCAAGATGTGCTAGAGCTGTTAGCCAGTTAGTTGTAGAACGCCAGTACCGTCGGTCAGTGTTGTGCAATGTTATCGCATGAGCTGATTGTTTAGTAACTGGTGGTGTTAGTGAACATTATAGCGTAACTTGTAGTTCCTTGGTCCTTTTTCTTTTCTATAAATTAATCCTTGGCTCTCCATCCTAGTCCAGTACTTCAAGACTTGCACTTTCTAGTTTGTTTCGAAAGTTTGCACGTATTACACGTATTATTATTGAATTGGCTTCATTATTATTCTTTAATCCACTCCGAACTGAAAATAAATAATTAAGTGGAGGTATTACACTAACTCACCAGACTTATCATAGCCAAAGGTATACAACACAGAATAATATAAGGAAAAAGTAAGGTAGAGAGAGAGAAGGGGGATAGAACATCACAGGCATTGAAGCACATAGGTGTCATGACAACAGGTATTACGAATGGGGAGCATCAGAATTTGGCAAAAAAAATCAGGCCAGCAAGGCTCATCACTGATCCCTGGGCACAACCTCCAATGCGTGCCCACAGAAGGATCAAGCACAGGCACAGAAATACCACAGTGTTTCGATTACAAACTAAAACGAATACGATAACACACAGAGCATAAGAAGACCACCAGGTACAGCGAAGAGCCCAACGAACATTTTTTGGCAGCATTTTGTATTTCAGCTTCTACTCAGTTCAAATTACATGTATGGCTAAGTAGAAGCCCCTCGTGCTCTCAACTTAGAGCTACGATTCAAGCTGCAATGCACTCGTGAGATTCAAGCGATGTACTTCGAAGTACATGTACCCAATCGCCATAGTGCCCGTGGCTTTTGTACGACATTGAACGTCATAGGGGAAACCCCTTGAATGGCTTCAAAGTCGTGTACAAATCGTTGGATGGAAACTGCGAAATGAGTTCAGATCAAACTCTGCATTCAATTTATCACTCCGCAATCATTGTTTGGAGTATCACTACAAGGAAAAATTAATATATCTGAAACGCTCTTTCAAGACCTCTTTTTTTTCTTGCAGTGAGCCATTGCTCATTGCGACCGGATTCTCTTTTCCAGAGTTGTACAGTGGTCTCTCCAATGCATGCGGTACGGCATGTGCACTGTACACCGTGTACGTTGCGAGTGCGCTCGTCTTTGCCCAGACACGATGGGATCTGCATGCTGAATATATGTGTCACATCATGTGCTGTCTGTCGACCTCCTATATTGGTGTACATAGTATTCCATACATCGAGGTGGGAACATCATGAAAAATGACATATTTCTGAAGTGAGTCGTGGCAGCCACGCATTAGAAGTCATGCACACACCTGGAAGTCACTCACTTGACTTCTTTTCTCTGTATTTACAGTTTCCTCTCACTGCTTTACGTGAAATCAAGATTCTGCAGAAGCTTGCCAACGAGAACGTTGTCAAGCTGATCGAAATTTGCCGTGGTCGACGTAAGTTGCTTTGTTGGCCACACACACACACACGCACATGTGCGCGCACACACAGTGCATTGTATTTTACAAATCAATGTAGGACATACGCACGTACCTGATGACATTCAAGCAGCGTTCCAACACAATACATTAATTGTATTGTGTTGGAACGCAGCTTGAATGTCATCAGGTACGTGCGTATGTCCTACATTGATTTGTAGTCAACTGGACTTCAGTGTATGACATGCGTGGCCCTGGTGCAGTTGCCATGGGTGGGGGTACGGTATGTCGCAGATGTCACAACTGTAAGTGGGTGAGCATTGCTTCTAACGCACTGTAGCCAGGTAGCAGCAGCAGGCATACACCGTGCATAGTCTGTTGCATCTACCATGGTCTACGCTTTGCACACATCTCCAGGACCTGCAGTTACACGGTTTAGAGTTCGAACTGATGTTGGAGTGAATCACCGGTCTACCGTGTGTACTGCTGCCGTGCAGAAGTCTGCATATCCAGTACATACTGATGCAGCCTTGCCAGGGCATCATGCACTGAGCCATACCCGCACCCACACTAACAATGCACCTGCCCAGAACAAATACCGGGATCCGAAATTTGGAGCTTCTTTGGCCAGTGTATTGGGTTTGGGTCAGTGAGAATTGGTGCCTCTGGTCTCAGTTTAGTCCTGTACAAAGTACAGTCCGTCTAACTTTAGTTAAAATTCTTTCCAGGTTTTTTTGTCGTTGCCTGTTAGTGTCCTGTTAGAGCCTGTTAGAGGCGACCAGTGAAAACTCTACTTGTACTTTTAAAAAGCAGTTAAAAGGCCAACGAAGTTTGCAGGGCCTGGTTGCTACTGTATTGAGCCATGTTGCAGGGCCTGGTTGCTACTGTATTGAGCCATGTTGCAGGGCCTGGTTGCTACTGTATTGAGCCATGTTGCAGGGCCTGGTTGCTACTGTATTGAGCCATGTTGCAGGGCCTGGTTGCTACTGTATTGAGCCATGTTGCAGGGCCTGGGCTCGGATCACTGGCACAGTCACGTACACAACCAACAACAGGCATCTATATTGGTTGTGACTTCAGAGTAATCAGGGTATGTGGAGAATCGAGCCGGCTATGAGCCCGTTGACCGGCAACGTTGGGCCAGCAGCCACCCCGAACCAGTGTTATCTAGTCGACAGCGGAGCCGTGTAGCTTCATTCTGCAGCACAGTATATTGATCTGCTGTCTCGAGTCGGAAAATGAGCGCCCTGTTAGTGACTGTGTAGCCTACGCTAGCATGTTTGATCCTTTGGACATATCCGTCAATCACAACGTGTCAATCACAATAGATGCGTGCTTGCTACGTCGCCACTCGCGCTTTCAAAGTTTTGATTCCTTATGTCACGGTTCTCATTTCCAGTGTAGGGTACCCCCCCCCCCGCAGAGTATCCCGGTGCAGGGGAACTAGCCAAAGTGCTGGCCTGCAGCCGCTCCTGCCTCATGAATATAGAAGCATCTTGGCTGGAACTATTGTGCGTTCAGAAGCCCTTCATGGCAATTTGGAGCAACTTTGCAGCATGTTTTCAACTTCTGATTGACTTACGGCCATATCTCAGAAAGAAATGTAGTTCGCCATCATGGCAAGGAAGTAACAGACTGTCCACAGAGATGAAGTTTTGCGTGAGGGTGGGGCGGTGCTGCCTAGATGTACCACTGGTATATCGAGGATTAGACCCGTACAAGACTTTCAGCATTTCTCATTGGAGTCCTCTGGTTTTGTCCATGTGTTTGCGATGTCCAGCTGCCCCATACGCCAAGGGCACCCACATCTACCTGGTATTTGAGTTCTGCGAGCATGACCTGGCCGGCCTGCTGAGCAATCCGGCAGTCAAGTTTGCATTGAGTGAGATCAAGACCGTGATGCAACAGCTGCTGAATGGCGTGTTCTTCCTGCACAAGCATCGCATCTTGCATCGTGACATCAAGGCTGCCAACATTCTCATCACCAAGCACGGTTCTCTCAAGCTGGCCGACTTTGGTTTGGCCCGTGCGTTCAGCGTGAATAACAAGGAAAAGAATCGCTACACCAGCAGAGTTGTGACACTCTGGTACCGTCCACCGGAGCTGTTGCTGGGTGAGCGAAACTATGGGCCACCGATTGACATGTGGGGCGTTGGCTGCATCATGGCCGAGATGTGGACCCGTGCTCCCATCCTGCAGGGACGTGCCGAGATTCATCAGCTGCAGCTGATCAACTGCCTCTGCGGAACCATTGATCCAACCGTGAGTTAACGTGCAATGTACATGTATACGTGTGTGTGGGTGTGGGTGTTGTTTGATCGGGCGGGAGAGAGAGAGAGAGAGAGAGAGAGAGAGAGAGAGAGAGAGAGAGAGAGAGAGAGAGAGAGAGAGAGACTGTTGAGCATGACATGGACGCGGTCAGCTAAAGCATGTTTTTTTGAGGTTTCATAAATTTTGTGAGGCACGAGGCAAATAAAAATCATTTCTGTCGAGTGCGTTCACGCTGTGCTTCGTTCATCAACCGATGGCGATAGCATCTTGTCAAACTTCGTTCTCACACTTGTGTGGCGGCAAAGTGACATTTTTCTGGAATAAGATAAAATTGAAATTTTAGCTTGCTGTGGCCGAAATATCAGCATTCTGTGTGTGTACATGTACAGTCGACTCCACTTATAACGAACTCAATATTATAGCGAACCATTGTCCGTGTCCCTGTTTGAACCATACAAAAATAGACTGTTTATAGCGAACAGTTTCATTTATAACGAACCAAATCTTGTAGTTGTAGGGCCGCATGTAAACGCAAGTGCACTCTGTCTTGTGCCACATGCCAGTCATCACTTCCTGCTTGTATGGTGTGAATGCATTTCTGTTATAGCGAACTTCGGCTATAAGGAATTAATTCTGCTGGAAAATGGTGTTTGTAATATCAGGAGGCGACTGTATGCGTGTTTCTGCCTTTCGCTGCCCCCCTCTCAGACCTACGCGGACTGTGAAGAGCTACCTCTCTATGGGACTTTTGAGCTGAAGCCCGAGAAGCGCAAGATCCGCGATCGCCTTCGCAATTATGTTAAGGACCAGCATTCCATTGACTTGATCGACAAGCTACTGGCTTTGGACCCGCAACAGCGCGTCGCAGCTGATGAGGCACTCAACCACGACTTCTTCTGGTCCGACCCTCTGCCAACGCCACTGGGCCACTTGCTATCTCAACAGACGACGTCCAATTTTGAGTTTCTAGCGCCACGCCGTACCGGTGCTGGTGCCGTGGCCGCCTTGTCAGCTGCAAGCGGTGCTCCGCAGCCTGGTGCGCAGTCCAGAGCGGTAGCACGCACCAACTTGCAGATGGGTGATGACTTCAATTCATCCTCCTTTGATCCCGTCTACTGAAGAACGCTGCTGCGCAAGCATCGTCTCTCGAGGGCAGCCCTGTAGGAATGCCCAGAGCAGCAGCTTACATCACGCCCCCCCCCCCCCCTGTATCATAGTGTGCAGTGTGTCGTGTAAGTAACTATCCTGGTTGGTGCTGCAGCAGTGCACAGAAAGCATGTGTAAGTTTTTTTTGTATATATGTATAGTTTGTAGATATTATGTCAGTAGCCAGTCCCTGCAGTGTGTGTACTGTGTCGGGTACCTACTTTTTTTGTTTGATTTGCTCTGCGTGTGTGTGTGTATATGTGTGTATATGTGTGCATCCGCTATATTATCTGTCTATTGTCGGTTCGACGTTTCTGTGTGTATTTCAGCTTTATTCTCCCTTCCGGTCTCCCAGTCTTAATTTACTTTCAGCTGAGCGTGTGCCAGCATTTGTACAGGGGTGTTTGTGCCTAGCGCCTACTGTGTGCATACTTCTCAGCTGAGCTGTTTTATCAGGGAGAACTAGACACACTCTTATGTTTGTTTTAGTTCTCCCCCTTTTTTTAAATCTGTACGTATAGGTATGATTTACTGCACGAGTACAAGTGAGTACAAGGGCAATACCGGCTGATACATGACCGAACGGCGTCAGCCGTGAGGTCATATATCAAGCCGGTATTGCCCGCGTACGAGTGAGTACGAGGCGCAGTAAATCGTGTATTGCTTGCTTGACTCAAACATTCCAGAAAATGGAGAGAAACCTTTCCGACTTTCTCAGTCTCCCGACACACTTGTTTAGTGGTAAACGTCGTTCGTGGTTTTGAAATTCTCTATTTCTTTCCGATATCGATGGTGTTGTTGTTCGTGTTTGAGCACTGCGTGTAGGAACTGAAACTGGGATGGGCTCCACGACTTCGTCTCGAACGCATTCAGTGCGTCAAGTACATGTAGTTCGTCGGCTGCTCACCAACGCATCGATGTCAAGGTTGCATTCACCTGCTGAGGTGGCTGGAACAAGTAAGTTATTGTCCGCTCAGTTACATGCGCGCGTGTGTGGTCTGTCATTCTTGTGCTTTGTAGTTTGTAGTCAGATCAAGTTGCTGTTTTGTGTTTCAAATTTGAAACTCCGAACAGTAGAATGATCTGATCACGAACCACAAAGTACAAGAATGACAGTCCGCATGCGCTCACATGTAACCAGGGAGTAGTACAATACCAATATAATAATGGTATTGTACTACTCCTTGCATGTAACTGAGCAGGCAAAGTTACTTGCCGGGCGATACCGAGAAATACAGACCGCTGAGCAAGAGCGCTCATTGGCTGTAGTACAGGCAACCCTCACGTCACATGCAATAATTGGCCTTATCAGCTGACATGAATTTTTGAGTACTTCTCTTGAAGCAGGGAGTAGTACAATACCATTACATACCATTGTACTACTCCCTTTCTTGAAGTACAGTCATCTGGCCATGGCAAGTGAAATCCAGCGCTTGGCAGGGGCTACACCATGCAGTGTGCAGCCCTGCATACGTAGTACACGTGTTATATACAACTTATCTGTCTCATGACAGTAATCGTACTCATCACTAGGACCAAGAGCTAGGACAGGGCCCGGTGTAATATGCCCGAAACTTTGCCGAAAATGATTTTGGGAAATTCTCCTAAACCTTGCCGAAAATGCTCCCAAACCTTGCCGAAAATGCTCGGAAAATGCTCACTTTTTTTAATCCTCAGCACACGCCGTCAGAAGACTCAAAACCAGGGAGTCAGAAAATACCGGTATTTTACGACTCCCTGGTCAAAACCATTATTTTCAATTCATAAACTACTCAACAAGAAGCTAACCCACGGAATGCGGAAGTGACGTTCTTGTTTGGGAAGTTTTTCTTCTCTCAATTTTGATACACAACGGCCAAGTGCTCCGTTTCCCCCAAAATGCTGCATCACGAGCCCAAAGTGCTGGGTTCGCGGATTGTACCGAAAATGCTCAAAAAATGCCGGCATATTATTACACGGGTACGGGGAAAATGCCGGCATATTACACGGGTACGGGGGCCTACTCATCACAGTCAAGGTTCACCTCAAAGGTTCAAAGGTGCTCGGAAAAATGAATGGGGACTCGTACAATCGTACAATAGTAGCCTAGGACTGGATATCAATACTCATTATGTGTACTGTGAAGTGTGTGTATCTACGCTGTGACCTTTCGACCTGTGTGGGATGCATACGGCTTTATTGTACGCATTTGGTACAGTGCATCAGGGAGTAGTACAATATTGTACTACTCCCTGCATTACATCATTGATGTCCATTTGTGGCGCTGTCCGCCATGGCAAGTGTCGTTGCCACGACTGTATTATACCAAGTACTGGGAAATCAGTTCAGCCACTAAATAGCTGCTGGAAAAAGCCACTCGTGGTACAACCCTAATCATCCAATATACATGTATCATCTTTTAACTGTTATGCTGGAGAACTGTGAAGAACGACTATGACTGAGCCGACCCCGTCTGAAGGTCCCGTTGCATGAAACCCAGAGTCCCAGTGTATGTCACACACTACGATGAAAGAGACATCATCATGCAGGCATTCATCATGCAGGCATTCATTACTGAAGGAGACATCATCATGCAGGCATTCATTACTGAAGGAGACTGTGGAGACTGTAGGGACCTCAAGTTTTGCATATGTTTGTACGGACCGTATGCATATGTTTGTACGGACCGTATGCATATGTTTGTACGGACCGTATGCATTTGTTTGTACGGACCGTATGCATATGTTTGTACGGACCGTATGCATATGTTCAACTTTAAAATGACCAGTTACCAATACTGTAACTTTTGTAGTGTCTGAGCCGGCAATCACCTCCGTGATCATGGGACGATAACACGCTCACACAACAGGAGCCTGCATGGTGACTACTTGCAATCAAGCAGAACAAGCTGTCCCTATACACGTGTGTACAGGTGCTGGCAGGCCGGCCATGGTAATGATCGCGGAGGACTTGCTGCCGGGCTGCTTTGCTTTCCGTTTCACTCAATCGATTTCCTCTGAATCAGCCCGACGTGCTCAAAACTGTCACTCATCATACTTGGAGATGCGAGCACGTCATCTCACCACAATGTTGGTGTCACTATTTCTGCTTCTCAGCCAACATTTTCCCATCAAAGTTCCCATTTGTGCCTTTTAAACTGTTTGCGGGCTCTCATGACATCAAAGGACTCACCCACCATGGGCATATGCCGTGCTTCTAACGATGGTCTCTCAGGTACATACTCCGGTATATCCAGATAGCGAGCCTTGACTTTGTCCGGGATCTTCGGCGGCACAAGATCACGAACTATTTGCTGACAGCGGTTACGCAGTACATCCACGTGCGTGCTCAGCTCTTGGAAATAGGCCTTGTCGCGCAAGTGTATAATGCGTTTCCAGAACTGGAGGTCGTCAAATCGTTCCTGGTCGTTCTGCCGCCGTTGACGGTCGGCCTCCTTCTGAGTGGCGGGGTAGAACTCCTTCAGCTCAGTCTTCATGGCTTGCTTTAGGTCCAAGATGGACTGCAGTTTTAACTGCTCTTGTACAAGCTTGTCACGTAGCCATTGGTCGCGAATGACTCGCCCAAACGGACATGTCTGCGTCTCGTCCACAAACACTTCCTCGATTACTTTCTTCACTCTGGGATAGAGGTCAGGTTTCTTGGAAAGGGCGAGTACAAATTTCCACGGCGGCTTGAACGGTCTCAGCAGTTCCGCTACTAGTCTCTTATCCACCGCAGGTTTTGGTCGCAGCAAAGACTTCCCATGCATTTCGAATCGCTCAAGGTAGGTGTAACGCTCTGGTTGTACGGGAGGCAACTGAGCGCGAGCGTGAGGTTTTGTACCTAGTTTTCCATGCTGGCACAGTGCGGTGGTGGTTTTCTTTTTCGCTGCAGAAGGTCGTGGACTCTTCAATGTATCGGTGGTTTCCTCTTGTTTAGAAACCTTTGCGGCGTCTGTTAACGCTACTTGTTTGAATGCAGCTTCGGTTTCTTCTGCATAGGCTTCAAGCTGCTTGAGTGCCTCCTCCTTGGCCTCTTGGCGACGCTGGATTTCTTCCTTTCTTTTCTCCTGATTCTCATGTCTGAAGAGACAGTCGGGTATTTTGCACACAACTACCGGTAATCGTTTCCATGCTGTAGAGCCGGGCAAGGCGGGTGGATACCGGCGTGGGGCCGGTGGAGTTGCAACTACTGCTGCTGCTGCCGCTACTAACGGCGTTGAAGATGACTTGAGTGGTGAACGTGGCGGCGGAAGTATACTCTGCTGTTTTGTGCTTGCCTTACGTGCTGCAGCCGCTGCTACTGCCTCTTCTTGCATCCGCGGCTCGATTTCCGTCCACTCCTCATGCGAAAAGAGATGTGGCATAGGCTTAGCGTTGACGTCGTCTTGATTCACAGGCTCACTGTTGGAGTGCTTGATGCTGTGGCGGCGGCGGTTCTCCAGGTAGGCATCACATACCTCCTGTGTTAGCCGTGCACAGTCCTGGACATGTTCTGGATAGTCCGGGCGCTGAGTCAACCTGTCCTGCCACCTACGTTGATCTTGTTTTGCCTGTTCCTCTTCTTGCGCTGCGGATATCTCTGCTTCCCGACGGGCTTTGTAGGCCAACAGAGGAGCATACTTGGGAGCTTTCCCCAGCTGCTCCACAGTCATACCATACTCGGAGATCTCTTTCAGATCTCTATTCACGTCAGCAATAGGATACTTTCTATCGGGAAAATAATCAACTTCATCAGCTTCATCAGTCTGGTTCTTCCTGGCGTCTAGCCACCTTGCATGAAGGAGTTTACCTTCTTCAGCACTGTCTATCATGCCTTGTCGGACATACTCATCAAACTGATCACGTCCATCCTTGCAGCGGGGTTGCCGTAGCTCATCCAGGTACTGGAATGGCGGTGTTGTCGGTGGTTGACTGCTGTGTGCAGTCCCAGCCTTCTGTCTCATCGTAACTGTAATGCTGGTGTCCCGGTGTCGTTTCGGAGCTCACCACATTGGCCTTCGGGTAGTGTGGCTGTGAACTCTGGTATCTCCTAGTGATGCCCTCTCCTGGGCGGACACCTCTAGCACAGTGATTCTGTGGGTTGAATTGGTGACTGAAGCCAATACTTGTGATATTGGTGCAGTGGTACTAGTTAATGCGGAAGAAGAGACCAAGCTTCGCTGTGAATCATGCTAAGAAGTCTGGTATTACCTGGGCAATACATGCACATTATAAACAGAAGCGTCCGACTACGTACAGCACACATGCATGCGCTCGCGCGCGCGCACGCACACACACACAGAAACAGAGAAAAGTCACATGCACTCACACATATCCATCCATACATAGACACACACACACGCACACGCACACACACACGCACATTATATTATACACACACACAATCAACACACAGACACACACACCATCGTCAGATCACTGGTAAGTTTAGCCTCTGAGCAGGGGAATAACCTTTTCACATGTACAGGACGGACAGTATATACAGGACATACATGACACTCCATGTTGTTGTTGGTTGCCAAGGCTTTAGAGAGGTTTTGCATTTCGAATGTCAAAATGTTTCTGACTGTAGCGAGTCACATTTGGAGGTTTCGAAATCCGCAAGCTGTTTTGCAATCCGAAATGTTCTTGACCCTTGGCCTTACTCTTGACCCTTAGAGGCCATTCACACGACGGGCAAACTTACTTTTATCGTGCCGTTTCCAAGGATATTTACTCGGATACGATAACTTGGACACACGTGTGCAACTGATTTTTTATCTTGGCCGAGGCCCTTTTGCTCGCAATTATCTTTGCACGCCAGGAAAAGTGTCGGTTGCTGAAAGTGCGTACTGCAAATGCATGCTTGAACGAGGGTAAATTCAAAATTGAACATTTCCCGGCATTTTCAGGAGGTCACTATGGATACATTGACGGTTGCAAAGTTTGCCCAGCACCGTGTAAACTGGATCACGGTTTGCCAGTGTTATCTTGGTCACACGTGCAAGCGTTTACACGTCGTGTGAATGGCCTATTAGTATCAGCAACCTGAGCTAGCTGCTCACTACATGGTTACTATGGGCAACTGAAATGGTGTGCGCAGATAAATGTAAACAAATTAAACAAGAAGCCGGAAAAATTAGAATAACTTTTGACCCGACTGCTCGACAAAAGCCTCTTTCCCGACTGCTTCTTTCCGCCCAACCTTCCCGAAAATTCAACTGCTCAATGTCGACTCTCAAACCCAGTACTGTAGTGGGAAGATATTCCAATCGAAATGCAGAACCTTTCTAGTGTCCACATACCATGGCTCGCTCTCACCTGAGCTGGCCACGATCTCACATGATCCGGCTGGTGCTAGGGGCCACACACATGTAGTGAAATGGCTCAGTAGTTGTTCACGACATTCCCTTTCTTCAAAGCCAGATACCAGGGTAGAAATACAATACGGTATTTTGCTAATCCCTGCTAGATACTGCAGCACATGCCATGATTAGATTCTGAAACTAACTCTCTGTAAAGTGGAGGAGTCCCTCTGAAATCATCTCTCCAACTATCACTGTACATGTACATGTACAGTACCATTGAGTTCATCAGGTTCACGATTTGGCTCTAGCACTACCACAAGTATTCGATTAGTTCCAGCACTACTCAGTACTCACCTCTGTAAATAGTCCACCAAAAGCCAGACGATTCTTGATCCCGGTTTCCTACGTTCATGCCTCGGTAATACACATCGGTCTGTGGTTTCTGTGATCTCTTGTGTTTTACAAATCTCTGATAGTTTCTACATCGAGGACAGCACTTCTTGTCCTGGCGTATAATAGTTGCGAGCCCAACTATTATTGGTATTAGCAGTACTACAGCTACAACTACGGCTATATGTATTGAAATGTACTTTGCCACCCGGTACCCGACTAGACTGCTCTCCTCGGAGTGACTAATTCTGCGGCGCCAGTGCTGGTGCTGCTGCTGATGTAGCAACTGGTACAGTGGTACAGTGGTACAGTGGTACAGTCATGTACCGGTAGATGTACTGGTGCCGGCGATAAGACTGCCAAGCCCTTGAATACTATTACTAAGTAACTACCTTACTGCTACCACTTACTTGCCAATGCCAGTAGGTCATGTCCTCTTGCCACGGTACGAAAGATGTTGCGATGTCAGCGGTGATTTGTAGTGAAGAAAGTGTCTGCTACGAACGTCGGAGCTCGCGCTCCCTGCCGACTGACGTGACTGTGTGTTGACACTTGACTGACTCACGACTCCCGAGGTAGATCTACAGTCAACTTCGCTTATAACGACACTCGGCGGGGTATAAAGAAAAGTGTCCTTATTCGCGAAGTGTCGTTATACCTGAAGTCTCATTACAATTATTATGTATTCCATGGATCCAGTTGGATGGGACTTTGCTCTGGGCATGGAAATGCTGTCGTTATTCGCGAATTGTCGTTATATCCGCAGTCGTTATTAGCGAAGTTGACTGTACCAGTTTCCTCTACCAGGTGTTCGTTGCGCGGGAAGCGGAGCGTCACTGCAAGTTGGTATCCCTGGTGATGTTTTGGCTCGGATCGGAGAGCACTACTCTCGGAGCAGAAATTTCATTAGCCTACTCAACTTGTCAAAACGCTCAACTGATGAGGGGTGAATTCCCCGAAACCAGGGAGTCAGTGGTGCTGTGCTGTTTGCATGATAATGATTTTGTCAGTTTGTGTCTCCCACAGTCAGTCTCAATGCCTCTGTCGCTGCTGCCGTGCTGGTAATGCTGCTGACTGGAGTCGGGAGTGGCCCAGGCAGTAACAGTTGCAGCTGCCCATAGTATACTGAGTCTGTGGTCGTATTCGTGTGTGGGAGTCGCACTGACTGTACTGTATGCATCAACCTCCGGCAGTACCCGGCTCCCGGGATCCCTTGCACCCGTTGCTCCAACACACTAACCAGGGAGTCGTCTAAACCCCCTGTTACTAACCAGGGTCCAGGGAGTCGTATAATACGACTCCCTGTTACTAACAATAGTTTCTAACAAGTCCGATGCAATCATGCAACCTCACGCAGGACGTAAGCCATGTAGACCATTGGTAGACCACACTATAGTATAAAACCGCACTGCTACTACATGATTGGGTACATGGGTAACATTGTGCAGTCAGTGGTACTGCCCAACCCGGCCAATGCCCTGCAGTCTAGACATACCGTATTATCTCTAATATAAGCACGGTCCTCTATTTTTTTCAATGTACCTCCGCCCCGTGCTATTAATGGAGACGTTCAGTTATTGGAGACTGTTCCATTATTATTTCAACCTCATTTCAGAGGCATGTTGCCATGCCAAATTTATATGTCAGACACACACATTTCAGGTTTTTTTCGCCGGTACAGATAATGAATTTACACAGTGTGCTTATATTATAATGGAGACTGAGCACTTTATTTTTTGAATGCCGCCCAAGGTGTTCTATTATTAGAGACGTGCTGTTATTGGAGACTGTGCTTATATTAGAGATAATACGGTAATTATGCGTGTAGCCTGTAGGCCAGGTAAGGACAGAAGGTCTACACTGTACACTGACCCAGGAATAAGCGGGGTAGACCTACTGCAAGCACAGGCTACAGGCTCTACAAGTCCTTTGTGATTATTCGAGATCAGGTGAAGCAGCCAGTGCTAGTGCTCCTTGCTGGACCTCAGACAATGAACTCAACGTGGAAACCAGGGAGTCGTAAAAGCCCCCCCCCCCCCCGGCCCCCCCCGGTTTCACAGGCTCCCCGTGCATGGGAAACCACACACCATTGCCGGCATTGGCATTGCACTGTGAGTCACAAACTAACAATATTACTAGTACAATGACTACATGTAGTAAGTCTATCCCATGCAACGCTCGAGTCGAGCATCCTACATGTAGCCTTGGTTGTGTACTATTGACTGCTAGCAAGAGTACATGTTTATGTACTCTTGCTAGCAGTAAGACCAACAACACCTACACAATATCTTGGTTCCAGGCCTTGGCGGGTGAAAACTTCACCTTAGGCTTCGCCTTCATGCAGTGTTTCAGGCTTGTGGGCTATCATCGTTGAGGTGCACATCTTTGCGCTCCAACTGTGCTCAGGCTCAGCCAAGATCAATGCGCCTCATCAGTTCCATTCACGTTACGAGGTTAGTTCACAAGCAGGGAGTCGTATAAACCGTTATACGACTCCCTGCTCACAAGCCTGAAACACTGCACGAAGGCGATGGGTGAAGTGTGCACGTGAGGACCAGGGAGTCGCGGGCTTTCACGACTCCCTGGTGAGGTCGGTGCCGTAAATCTACGATAATTATCGTGTTCGGCTTTTGGTCACTGGGTAATCATGGTAATGTCGGGGCTCAAACATGGTAAAGGGGAGGGGGGGGGGGGGGGGGGTCGGGTCTACAGCGGGATGGTGTAGCCCCGACATGTGTGCATTCACACGTCACCCCCACGGAAGCAGCGCGTTCCGAGGATGAGGTGATATGCTGACGAAGAGGTTGCGCTACCAGACCCAGCCACAACGCACTCGGGGCAGTGTCCGGGTATCTTCGAACTGAGTTCCATCACCAGTATCATTCATCATTGTTCTTCTGCCTTCGAGTCCAGCCAGGTCAACAAAATGCTCTCCTTGGAAAGTGTGGGCCTCGTGTGCTCTCTTGTGCAACTGCTTCCTCACAACTCCCTCTCTCTCTCTCCCTCTATCTCTCTCTACTATCAGCACAACTAACCGAGCCTACCCTAGGAAGGTCAGTGGAATGCTGCCCCAGTACATGTAGTGTTAGCTCCTTGTTTCCTTCGGGCGAATATGCGCCCGTAGTCACTACTAGTAGTGTACTTAGGAGTAGGATAGTTGTGTTGTTGCCTGCGCAGCGTTCCAGCCGGTGATATTTACGTGAACCACGAAACCGAAGTGGAGACTGACGCTCAATGGCGACTCGTCGATGGATGAAGAAGACGAAACTGACTCGGCCATTGGGTATGTAACGGGCATGCCATTGACCGTCGCTGCCGCTGGCACTTTCTACTGTTGGCTGCAAACCACGATAAGAGGAAGAACGAGTAGACCATACTCGTTCTTCCTCTTACTAGTACTATTGTTCGAAGGATTCCCCAAAGGCAGAAACCTAAATGAAGGGGGTCTCTGAGAATAATACGGAGGATTAGCAAGACGAAATTCGCGTTCGCGTTCGCAAACAATTTTCAGTTCGCGAACTGGATTGCGAACTTTCGCATTTTTCGTTCGGAAAAGTAGTCGGAACACGAATCGCGGATTCTTTCAGGGCAGTCGTAAATTTACCACGCTGTACTGTCTGTACACAATGTACGTCGTGTCAACGTCATGCATGTGCGAATTCTGTTTGCTAATCCTTCTCATAACGCGAATTCCGTCACTGAGTTCGACTTTCCTTGGAGATCGAGAGCGAACGCGAACGCGAATTTCGTCTTGCTAATCCTCCGTAATAATTGACTTTGTGACGATTATAAAAGGTTGGTGTAAGTAGAAGCATGCATAAACTTGATGAAAGGGGAAGTATACTAGTAGACCCAAGTGCTCGAAGTCCGGACATGGTATCCTAAGTTGTAAGTTCGTACACCCATAATTTCATGTTCTGTTATTGTATTCGACTCAAAAATTTCTCCTCACGTACCAATTTTCAGGTATCTACGATAGGCAGAAGTCCCATACCACGCGAGTGGGTTTTCGAGTGTCCATACGAAATACAAATTGGGTTACATTTCATGCAAAAATCAACTTTGCCAAGACCAATTTCGAACGGACACAGCGTCAAACAGACCTTCACTCAATCATCAAGAACCAGCTTAGAGCTGAGAATGGCCAGAGGAGAAGAATTTACAGAGAACCACCAATCCTTGCAGAAAGGTTGACACTCCTGGCATCTCCACCACTGTTTTCCTGCGGTTTTCACAGCACAGCTGCTTCTTCTCTGAGCCGACTAAAAACAGCTTGCATTTCGGCAACAAACTACGCTTTTGCAAGAAATACCGGTGGAGGCACATGCCAAGCATATCGCTTCGGTACTTTCGTTGTAACCGAGGGACCGCAAGTTAGCAATTAGCAGAAATATGTGTATATTTCGAGTCACCTCTGAGCAGTACGGACTTAGAGCACCCTCTGCAACACCAAAATTTGATATGAAAAATCAACGAACTCCAGAGAAACAGATCGGATCGAAAGATGGCCTGGTTCAATCGAGCCTGGCCTGAAACAACCCTGGACAAGATACCTTCCATCCATGAGCAGGATTCTGGCAAGTGATCATTGCTAGTGTGAGTTTCAGCTCGGCAAACACACACTGTAAAAGTGTCCGGACTTCGAGCACCTGGGTCTACCCTAAATCAAATTTCACCAGTTGTAGTCTTCGGGATGCTGAGTCGAATGGTCTTGGTCCGAGGAAGCTGAGACGCTCCCTTCCTCCATTATTCCCAATCGAACTCGCGCCTTCCACCGAAAACTGGGTAACTGTGCCCTACTAGATGGGGATTTGTATGCAAAATGTCACTATTATTTGAGAAGCGCCATTTCGTTCTTATAAAAGCACAGATGACCGCGATTGGCCCATATGTTGTAGTCTTTAGACGCTGAACCGACTGGTTTTGGTCCAAAAAGGCTGTGATGCAGCATTCGGCCCTTATTCCCAATCGAACACGGCTGAGTAAGCGGTCGCATGCTCGTGCATACACCAGTCGCCTGGTCACCGTGCCTGCAGGCTACAACTTTCACACCAAGGTTCAACTCAAATGTTCAAAGGTTAAGTCGGTCAAATCAAGTCACCTGGCAGAAAAGCACGAGCTCCAGTGTTTGGAGCAACCAACTTCCCTATTAAATTATTGCTGAAATCGCTACGACTACCGGTAGTTGGTATTGTTGTGCCCAGCATCAGCCTGCGACTAGTTGGTTTGGAGGTGACAGTGCTGCGAATGACCGAGGATCTTCAACGTCTGTTCTCACCATCCAGGAGCGACACTGACTCACGCTGCTATCTGGTGTTCACGAGGTGTTTATTGCGCTGGAAACGGAACATCTCTGTAAGTGTGTAAGTAATAGTTTGTATCCTTGGTGATGTTTTGGCCGGGAGAGTGCTATAATTATAAGTGGTGCTCTTTGAGCACAATCTTCCTCGGCCTACTCGAAGCTCAACTGATGAGGGTTGAATTCCCTGGAGCACTGTGTATTGAGCAGGGAGTGGCTCTTTCTTGCAGGTTTGCAGAGCCGAAGGTTCAATGGACTTCCCGTGTGCTCCAGATGGCAATCGTGAGTCAGTCCAGTGTCAAGTCAAGCCGGCAGAAAAGCACGAGCTCCAATGTGGGGAGCAGCCAACTTTCCTATAGAATTATCGCTGAAGTCGCCACCACTATTCCACTATTTCGTACTGTTTACAAGATTTACTCCAATCAAGATAATTCCGGATCTAGAGGTCAAGAGAATTTATGACGTTGGATTGCAAACCCAGATACCCAGCTCTCCGTGGCTGCTGTAAGGGAGCAGAGGAGGAACTATGCTGTTATACAGCCTTCAGTGTCATTGCCATTGCTGAGATGCCTTTGTCATAGGCAGATGCAATGCTTTGGATATATTAGTGCACCTCGTAATGCTGCGTGTATATCGTCCGCTTCACAAACCTTGGAGCCGAGCTGCTCGGACATGTGTCAGCAATCGGTCTTCCCTTAGCACTGAGTACACACTCTGACTCATTCTGACCTGCATTCTTTTCAGCTACCATGTGTCCAATGTCCAATGATGCTAATGGGCATAGTCAGTTGAAACTCATTTTTTGTCGAATAGAAGCTGATATTGCCATCGTGCCCTATTTTCTGTAGGAATGAATTTTCTTCTCCAGTAGAATTTTAGGTTTTTCTTCTCTGGGCCGTTATAACTTTCTGGCTTGTTTCTCCTTCCTCATGCAGAAACAACAAGAGAGTTCAGCCATTAGCAGGCCAAGAATAAAACACTTGCTGAACTCTGATTGGATGATTCGGAGGGTGGTTGACCAGTCATTTCAGGTGTGAAGTTCAGAGCCAGGATAGGCTAGGTATGAAAGCAATCAGAATTTTAGATTTTCTTCCCCGGTAGAATTTTCCGGCTTGTTTCTCCTTCCCCATGCAGAAACGAAAAGAGTTCAGCCATCAGCAAGCCAAGGAGACAGCGCTTGCTGAACTCTGATTGGCTGAGGGCGGGTAACCAATCATTTCTGAGCCAGGCTGCATATGGGAGTTCTCTCCATTTTTTTTTCAGGACAACAATGTTGCGTGCATTTTATTAGGCAGGAGCTCCCTGGCCACGTATAATAGTAATATTAGACAGGGTTCTGCATAATGCAATTACGTTTGTAAAACACATAGTCGATCTACGGAAAGTCTTACATACACTGCATGCGGACCTGTGTTCCGCCATACAGAGTTTTCAAATTACGTAGCTGCTCTGGTTAACTCGGGACGTGACGGTATGCAACCGGGTCTACCTTGGGAGAGAGTCATACAGTCCTACTCCAATCTACTTACGTAGCACCTCCGTTATCAGAGCCCCGCCTACGTACTACTCTACGTAGACAACTTTCCGTCAGTGGAGTTCAAACTCGCAAATTCACTGGTTTTTCCGGCCCACTTGCGTAAAGAAGTTGCTCAACTTTACGTAGTGCGGAACCTCTCTAAAAGCTAGGAAAATACACACGGCAAGGAGTAGGGAATTCCATTGCGACTCGGAGGAGTTTTTTTCACCGCACATCCATCGTTCATCAGGCAATGTCAACAGTGGAACACCATACTGGCTTAAAAAAAATTGGAATATTCGAAAGGGTTATTATCATGGAAAGGAAGAATCAGTTGCCCCTGATCATAGCGTATCGTGTGAATACCAATTTAAAGTATTATTCCTACTTAGCCAAAACCTTTAAATGACACTGGTGGTATGAATATGGACAAGTCAATTGGTAAATAGCCCCATAATCTTACTGTGTACTATTCAATAGCTGTAGTCTGGTGACTAGGTTGTGTATCCGTGCGCTGTGCACTTCTACACATTAAAGGAAAGCAATAATAATTATTAATATGAACAGGTCGCATGTTACCCGCATAAACAAATCATATGAGGAAAGCAACGAGTTGCCATGAAATTGTACCTAGTATGATGATGCAAGTAGTACGACATTACCTGTGAGCATGCAGCATAGTGTGACCAGGTTTCATTATCATGAGATTATCATTCTTGAGTGTGTAGCGCCTCGTCATGGATTGAAATTTTCGTAATTCTCCGTCCCTGGCAATGGGGCAGGCGGCCGTGCCTCGACATTGACGTAATCTTGCTGCTGCTGCTGCATCAGTGGTGCCAGGGGACTTTCGGCCGGTCCACCACCGCCCATTGCACCCGGGACAGGCGCTGGAGGACGCGAGGCCATCTCGTCCTCCCCCTCGGGCACGAGGTAGTCCTGAGTGTCGATCTCCTCGTCCAGGTCCAGCGGTGCCCTGGTGGCCGCACGCTGCGAGGCCTCGCGCTGGAGAGCCGGGTGACTGTTCATGCTGGGAAGTGGTGGTGGCGCACCACTGGCACCAGCTGCCGCCCCGAGTGTTACCGCAGACATGGTGGCATTGTACGAGGGTGGCGGTGGTCCGCCGTTCTGAACTGGATTGGGCTGGTAAGGATTTCCCGACTGGCTAGGATGCGACGACATGGGTGGTTCTGGTGGCCCGTTGTACGCCACCGGGTTTAGAGCAATAAACGAGATGTCCTCAGCACCTTTCTGGTACTTGGCCTGTGTTCGAACAGTCTGGATAAAATAGAAACCACAATAAAGAGAGGACTAGCAGTATGTACATGTATGATCAAGACTGCATAGGCCGAAGTGTGTAACTCCGCATACCGTAGTGTCACGTATAAAAGCATTACCTGTATAGAAGCAGGACTCGAGTAGAAGCCGATTTTTCGAAACGAGCCGTGACCGCACGATTTGTATAGAAACCGCTATGTGCAAAGACACTTGCACAGTACATGCGTCGCAGTATGCACTGCACAGTGTACACTGATGATGTTGACGTAGAAGCATGTTTTGAATAGAAGCGTGGTTTGAACCCCGGCTTATACGGCCGTAAGTACCTGTTTTGTACGCGACCTTACAGTAATGGGTTTGGCCACGATAACGTGTTGGTTACGTCACTTTAACACAATTATGCAAAAAAAACTAAAGTTACAGGTCATACTGATGCAACACAACGCTGCACTTGCAGACCGCAGCTTCTGTGAATCATTGGAAATGACGTGAACGTGGATTCGACTCTCTCAAAGTCATGTGCAACTGCACGCACTCGTTAAGGTACTCTTGCTAAAGTTGGTAAGCCGATATGCCAGTGACATCGAACTGTTCGTGTGCTGAATCAACCATTGGGCCAAAGGACTAGACCATTGACATTCAGTCCAGAGTCTGTGTAGTACTGTAAAAGCCTATTGAGTGTTGAGAATGAAAGAGAATCGTTACCTCTGGTACACGTAAACTAGTCAATTTTGGGAAATCGTTATATATGCGCCTCGTTAGAATAATGGCTTTTACCAGCATTCTTCAAACAATTCATGCTACGTACACACATACACGGCCGGTAGAGAAATGCTGGAAAAACACACC